TTTACACAAGACTGAAAAGGGAGGGGAGAGAGGAAGAGAAGGGAACTGTTGAGAATTGTACCTTCAGCTTTATTGTCTCTGCACCACAGATTATAATGTGAATGTTGTAGAGGAAACAACATTATCAGCTCAATATGATGTGAACTTTCAGCTTTACTCAACCTCTGCTGTTTTTTACAGCTGCCACTTTCCTCTCAGTGCCTCTCCACCCCTGCTTGACTCAAACTTCTGCCTTGTTCAAAACAGCCACTTTTTCCCCTTTCAGTGTCTTTCCCTTCTCACTTTACCCAAGCTTCTCCTGCTTCCGTTCCTCAGCCGCCTTATGTGCGAGAGAAGAAGGATGCAAAGCACTCAAATATCCCATAGCACTTACCCACCATTTTCCTCTGTCCTTTTTTTTTTTACTGATAATTTTTATTTGGTTTTACAAGTATAAAATTATAACAATACAAAATGCATATCCATATTTAGAGATTCATCCGAATCTCTGGACTTCCCACGTTGCCCTCCATGGGTCCTATTGTCAACCCATTCAACTCCATATTATTCAGTAATCCATATTTTATGTCACTCCATTTTGTCCATAATATTTGCAACATTACAAGTGTTGTAATCCTGCTAATCTTTATAAAAGTTTTGGTATTTTTGGTTCCTGAGCTTTCTGGTCAGTTTTGCCATTTTGGCATAGTAGTAGTATGATGATGATGATGATGATGATGATGATGATGATAATAATAATAATAATAATAATAATAATAATAATAATAATAAACAAACAAACATACATACATACACCACCCATCTGGCCAGGCCTCCCCAGTTTGCCATTCTTCTCTGGTAGGGACTTTGTCGTCTTCCATCTCTGGGCTAGTAACATCCGTGTGGCCGTCGTCTCCATTTTCCTCTCAGTCCTTTCCATCTCTGCTTTACTCAAACTTCTGCTGTTGTTTTAAACCATCACTTCCCCCATTTCAGTGTCCCTTCTCTCTTGTCCCTATACCATGGCAACTGCTCTTGTGGAACCAGCCTTCTCTTGTGCTCCTTTTTACTGTCCTGACTTCATGCAAATCCAGGATTGTGATGAGGCACTACATTCTTACTATGTAGAGAGAAATAATAATCCTTTTTTACAACAAAATGGTACAAATAAATGTATTTACTATCAAGTCAGTAAAAGGAAGACCCGTTTTATTCCTACAGCCATGATGACGACCAACTTCCAAGAGACTGCAATCTACTCACACAATTAAAAACTGGCAGTGATCTACCCCTTTTTTGGGGGGTTCAGGTCAAAGTTAACTTGGTAGAAATAAATATCCAGTGATGTGAAATGGTATTTCTAAATTCTGGTAGGCGCCTAACCTAAGGTTACCAGATTTTTTTCAATGAATCCAGGGACACTTATTGCTATGCACATGTGAATTCTGAGAAGCTGTAAATCCAGGGACTGTCCCCGGGAAACGGGGACATCTGGCAACCTTATCCTAACCTGCATCATACATGTATATAAACCGCTATCATTTGGTGATGCTCTCCCTGGCCCCTGACTTTAAAGCATTGCTCTTTGAAAGCGAAACACAAGAGGAAAATCAACAATAGAGCCAGCCTTGGCTCCCATCGCATTAAAAAGGTCAGCTAAGAACAACAGTCTTTCTTCTTGGCAATGTTCCACTTAGAACAATGCCCTCTTAACGGTATGGCCAATTACCGGTAGTTTAATAGACTAGCTGCACAAGGGAGCAGCACAAGGAGGAAGTCTGTAGCAAATGCCTCCTACAGTGCATACAATGGAGGATGAGCTCTCAAGATCAGAGCATTCATAGTAAAACCTAGATTGGAGGATGAGAACTTGCATCCTTTGGTCTTTGCACAGCCATTTGTGAGGGGAATGTTTCTGCTATTGTTGTTGCATGGTAACGCTCTACAGTCAATGGGGTCTCCAACTCTGCATTGCTTTATTCGTGCTGCTGTTTTTGGAAGGAGCAAGCAAGGATTTATTTAGCAAGCTGCTGCAGATACCCAGATTTATAGATACAGATATAGGTGTGTGTGTATAGACAAGTGATAGACAGTGTGAAAGTACCTTTTAAGGCTAGAGACAGGCAATATTTTGCTTTTCTTTTTAGAAAAGAGGACCAGGCTGGGGGAGGGGGGGAGTGAGTGCACATGGCCTTTTTGTTAAATTGATGGGCATTTAAAAAAATAAATCTTTTTAAGTGTTGTTTGTGAAAATGGCTTTAGGGATCAGACCATGTGATAATAATGCTGTAGCGTGCCCAGGAATTTACTATTTTTTACTGTGTGTGACTAGCAGAGTCTTGGGAAACACAGGACCAGTTTCTTGCATCAGTCACTGATTTGATGAGAGAGCTTTCTGTTTCTTCAGTTTTTGGTTGTGTTGTGGGACCAGGTCACAGCATACAAAGCAAAATGTAAACAGTCCAGATTGAAAAGAAAGCAAATATGTCTGAGTAGGGGACAAATCATTGTAACGGATACCTTCTTTTTGAAACAAAATCTGCAATAATAGCAGCAAGAGAGCCAGCTGGGCTTAATTAAAATGCTGCTTGAAGCCTTGTGAGCTGTCTGTTTGAACTAAGGGAGCAGGCATAGACTGGAGGGAAGAGAAGAAAGATGAGGGATTAAGCTCAGCTCCCACATCTTTTAATTTAACCCTGCATCTCCTAATTCAGTGTTCGTGAAGAACAAAGCAGCTGATCCTTAATCAGAGTGCCAGAGACGAGAATCTCTCATTGGACAGGTCGCTGACATCATGCCAAGAAGAATTGTGGGGATATTTTAGCCAGAGCCCTGTCGAAAGGGAAGATGAGAGAGAGAGAGAGAGAGAGAGCGCGCGCTACTTGACACAGTGAGGGTGGTGTGTTGAGAATGTGAATGAGAACAGACTCGTCTAAGTTGTGTACTGAATGAACTGGCATTGTGTAATTGCTCCGCTTTCAGCACATCTCCCAGTGTTGTCCCAACAACTGTGGCTCAGGGACATAATTTCTCTGTGGCAACAAATTTTGTAAGTGAATTATGGGTTGTCTGTGTGTTCTTGAGTCCATTCTGAATATTCTGCCAATCATCTTCATTGGATGACCCCCAAGAGAGGGGGAGAAACATCTTTGTGCCCACACCACAAATAGTTTTATATATCTGTACAGTCGTACCTCCTTTTACGTAACCCTCTGGTTACGTAAACTTCAGGATGTGTGCGCGACAAACCCGGAAGTATTTTACCGGGTTTCGCCGTGCATGCATGCACAGAAGCGGTCCTCAGGTTGCGGAAACCTTGGGATCCAACCGGACCTCTGGAACGGATCCTGTCTGCAACCGGAGGTACCACTGTATCTTGTATCTCTGTAGTTTTTTTATATATTCAAAATAAAATAAAATCCCTAAACACGATAGCGTTGGGTTGCCATTTGCTCTGCACTGTTTTTATAAAAAAATATGTCGTGACTAGAAATGTATACAATAAGCCAAATATGTTTTCTTTCCTAATAATCCCTAATATTGAAGACTGCTACACTTAGGACAGGATATAGGTGATAGGAGGCTGCATTATTGTGGAGGGGGGAGAGAGAGAACTGTAACACCCCTCTGGCTTTTGTTTGTTCCCCCCTTTCTTTTAAAAAAGGGGGCACTTTGGAGTGAGCTCTAGGGATGGACCATAGCTCAGTAGTGTAGGTAAAGGACAAGGTAAGGGACCCCTGGACAGTTAAGTCCAGTCAAAGTTGACTATGGGGTGCGGCACTCATCTTGCTTTTCATGTTGAGGGAGCCGGCATTTGTCCACAGACAGCTTTCTGGGTCTTATGGCCAGCATGACTAAACCTCTTTGGCGCAGTGGAACACCATGAAGGAAGCCAGAGCACATGGTAACACTTCTACCTTCCCGCCGCAGTGGTACCTATTTACCTTCAGTAATGTAGAGTGTGTTATTTGTACAATTCCCAGATTCAGTCTCTGGAATTGCCAGATAAAGAAATTGGGAAAGCCATAAGCCCAAGACTCTAGAGTCAAGGTAGACAGTTCTGGGGTAGACACACAAGTAGTATGACTGGGTATAAGGCAGTTTCCTTTGCTGGAAAATTGAGCTTTCTCCGTTTGGCTTCTGCAGTCCAAAGTGGGAAAGTGAAATTGACAAGGCTCAGTTTCACAGGAGGAAGTAAAACTGATAAGGATCATCCACAAATAAGCCAAACCACAAACACCCTGTGCTATACATGACTTTAAGCTTTGTAACAGAAATATGCCCAAGCCCATTTATTATTTTATATGCAGATGGGGTCCGAACCAGCCTAACTGATTAGGAGAGAGAGCTAAATGGTTGCTGAAGGAATTGCAGGTGTCACAAAGGAAAACAATGTGATTATGGTGTACTTTGCAGGGTCATATGAATCAATTTTTGATGCACATTTTTCTTCTTTTTTGGCAATAATCATTTAGCAATAATGTGTAACTTGTGTATAACATGGAATTGTCTGCTGGCGCTGCCTTATACTGAGCTGGTATTGTCCAATGACAGACATCAGCTCTCCAGTGGTTTCAGACAGGAACTCTTTTCCAGCCCTCCTGTAGAGATGCCAGCGATTGAGCCTGGGGGAGCTCTTGCATGCAAAGCACATGGCTGAGGACTGAGCAATTATGTCTCTCCCAAATTGGGATCTTCTTTTTATTCCTTTCTCCATAAAGCGTTATTATTGCAAAGGTACAGAAATGACTCAGCAGGCACGCCAGTTATTATCGCAAGCCATCCAGGTGGGACATTTTACAATATCACCTTGCAGCATGTAATCATTACCTAGCTTCTCACCTGGCAGGAGCTTCCACAAATACTGCTTAGGGATCAAAGGCTCGTAAAACGTGGCGTGCGGATTTCATTGGCTTGTTGCGAGTCTCATGGCACATGGGGCAGAATGAAAGTTTGGAGCAAGATAAGGCGTTCCGTCAGGCCTGGGGTGATCAAGTCTCCTTTCTCTTTCCCTCTTGCAGTTTTCCAAGGAAAAGCATGTTATGGACAGGCTGGGCATGGAGAGTTCACCAGAAAAACTCAAGAAAGAGCTGGAAGAGGAGCTCCAGTTGAGCAGTGAAGATCTGCGCAGCCATGCCTGGTATCATGGACGTATTCCACGACAGGTGTGTGTCCCCCTTTTTGGTCTCTCTGTTGGGTAATTCTGCCAGCTTGTTTTCTTTTCCTGTTCTTTCTTCCTTGCTTACTAAATCCAGGTATTTCACAATTCTATCTCAAGTCTTTCACCACCACCACTGGTTTTCTTCTTCTTCTTCTGCAAACCGGTTCAAATTTATTATGAATGCGCTTGTGATCAGTAGTTCAAATCCAGCATTTATGGAGCATGGAAAAGAAAAGCGAAAACCTGAGGATGTTATTATGGGAGGAAGAATTGCATATATAGAGGGAAGTGCAGAAACCTATCCCCGTCCTGACTCTGAGCCTAGATCCAGTTCAGTCACGCCTGCTACCCATTTAGAGCGGTCGCAAATGATACGGAGGAAACCTGCAAGATCCCAATATTACTCTCCCTGTAATTATCCCTCAGCTTGTTTATTTAATATAAAGATTATCTTAAAGAGACTCACAGGAACTGTCATTTAGTTAGTTTTTGAACCCAATTATATCACCAGAGGTTCAGTGCTAAAATAAACTCCCAGGCGATGCTTTAAGTATAGCTGGGAATATAGCTATGAGAGAGTTGGCCACACAACCGCTAAGTCTCCTTTCTGGCACAGAAATTGACACTCCAATCTATTCTGAGAATCTTTACTATAAAAAAAACACCAAGCAAGCTGATAGCTTTCACAGCTTTGTTAATTTTGCTGTTCCTTTCTTGCTCCCTGTCAGTCCTATCCTGGAGAAGAGAGATCCATGTGATTGGAAAATGTGACTAAATTATGTAAAAATCAGCCAGATATTTCTAATTTATTTAGTTTATCCCTGATTGCAGGAATCGGGTTTACTGATTAGCAAGATTTTGAGCACATAATGTATGCTCTAGCTACAGAAATTGCTTGATCCTTACTGGAAACGGAATAATGTTATAATGATGATAATTTGGGATTCAGGACATGTGAGGCCATTTTAAAGCATTAAGCAACACATTGCTTTTTCTTGGTTTTCACCATATTTACATGCGTTTCCACATCTGTCTGAAAGCAGACATTATTATTTTAATCTAATGCAACTGAAACAGCATGAGCTAGTCATCAAAGTCCAGACCTCTGGAGTTATGAGCCTCCCTGTGGATATCAGCCCTGGAAAGCATTCAGAGATAGCAGAATCTGGTGGCCATGTGATGTACATGCTTATTGGCTAAAGCTTGTCTGATGAAAAAGACGAGAGCCCTAAAAAATTTGAGTTATGAGTAATTGTGCCAGATAACGGTAAAGAAAGCCAGTATATTGAACCCACTGAAGAAAGGCGTTGATGAGGTCACTTTTAGGGTCAATTTAAATAAAAAGTTCTACCTTAGCCCAGCTACGGTTTTGGTTGTGTGGAGGATACTTTATGACAATGGGCACAATCTAGAGAAAACAGAGTGAATCCGATTGTATTTGTGAGTTTTCTAAAGTTGTGCTTACCAGAAAAAAATCCCACCATAGTAAAATACATACAAAATGCCATCATTTGCACATTTTTTTCATGGGTGAAAACCTGGTCGTTACCGTAGTTGCCATTCTAACTATCTCTTGCTTTTTATTTTTATTTTTCATGTTTGTAACTGAAAAAAGAGGGAGTGTCAGAATTTATTTGTGGGTGCAGAAGAAGCTGCATTTATGTAAGATTTGGAATAATTAATAATAATAATAATTTTATTATTTGTATCCCGCACATCTGACTGGACAGCTTCCAACAAAATATAGAAACACAGTGAGACTTCAAACATTTAAAAACTTCCCTATACAAGGCTGCCTTCAGATGTCTTCTAAAAGCTGTATATCTCCTTGACATCTGATGAGAGGATATTTCACAGGGTGGGCACCACTACCGAGAAGGCCCTGTTCCAGCAAGCCATTTTGAGAAGGTGGTGAAATGCAGCCTGCTACAGTTGGTGCTTTTGGCCATTATGTCTAGTTTTGCCCTCAGCTGGGGAAAAGCAGCAGCAGGACTCACTCAGATTCAGAATGTATTTATTCTGACACAGCCACTTGCTATTGCGCTGGTTTGGCTATGTCAGGGGTAGTCAACCTTTTTATACCTACCGCCCCCTAATGCATCTTTCTTGATGAATTTCCTTACCGCCCACCAGTGCTCGAGGGAAGGAGGGTTCAGCTTGTGCCGTAGAACCCCCTACCGCCCACCTAGAATCCTGAAACGGCCACTAGTGGGCAGTAGGGACCATGTTGACAACCCCTGGGCTATACAGGGCCTCGGTCCAGTATACCTGAAGGAGCGTCTCCACCCCCATCATTCTGCCCGGACGCTGAGGTCCAGCGCTGAGGGCCTTCTGGCGGTTCCCTCATTGCGAGAAGCAAAGCTACAGGGAACCAGGCAGAGGGCCTTCTCAGTAGTGGCGCCCGCCCTGTGGAACACCCTTCCAGCAGATGTCAAGGCGATAAACAACTACCTGACATTCAGGAGACATCTTAAGGCAGCCCTGTTCAGGGAAGTTTTTAACGTGTGATATTTTATTGTATTTTTGGTTTTTATGGAAGCCGCCCAGAGTGGCTGGGGAGGCCCAGCCAGATGGGCGGGGTATAAATAATAAATTATTATTATTATTATTATTATTATTATTATTATTATTATTATTATTATTATTATTACAGTCATACCCTGGTTGTCGAACGCCCTGTAACTTGTACGTTTTGGGTCCCCAACGCCACAAACCCGGAAGTGATTGTTCTGGTTTGCAAATGTTCTTTTGGAAACCGAATGTCCAACGGGGCTTCCGCGGCTTCCTGCAGCCAATCAGAAGCCGCGATTTGGTTTTTGAGCATTTTGGAAGTCAAACGGACTTCCAGAACAGATTCCGTTTGACTTCCAAGTTACAACTGTATAGCAAAGAAACAAATCTTGCACGTACAATTAAGATTTCAGAAATAGTTTCAAGGGAGGAAAACATTTAAAATATCAAATATTGATGCCACACGGAAGTCAAGCATCTCTGTTGTAATCAATAGCATTTCCATTAATATTTTAGTATTAATGCACTTAAGCAGTATGCAAGCAGGAAACCTCACTGTCCTGGATGCAGAATACTTATCCATGTCTTTTAGTAGGAACAGGAATTATCCCAGGAAGATAATCCCATCTTTGAAGCTAGGAACAGACAGATGTATTTAGTGCAAAGGTCTTCATACATCTGTAGCAGTTTTGGAGTGGGCACCACCGAAAAGGGAAAAAGGATTAAACTTTCCTTCACTATATCAGTGTTCCTCCTGCTGCTTGAGCAGTTTATGGTTCTTTTAAATAATTGTATACAGTGGTACCTCACAAGACGAAAAACTCGCAAGACAAAAGGGTTTTTGGTTTTTTGAGTTGCTTCGCAAGACGTTGCTTCGCAAGAATTTCCCTATGGGCTTGCTTCGCAAGACGAAAACGTCTTGCAAGTTTGTTTTCAATGCATTCCTATGGGAAACCGTGCTTCGCAAGACGAAAAATTCACAAGACGAAAAAACTCGCAGAACAAATTAATTTCGTCTTGCGAGGCACCACTGTATTAATTTATATTCAGACAATTAACGTCACACCTATTTTGTCCCTGACATGCAGCATGTTGGGAATATAGGAGACTAGCTGGAAAGAGAGAGCCGCTGTAAGCTCTGTTGGCTTTGACCGCATTGTGTAGTCACACAGCTCTGCATCTTTTTAGCTTTGGGATGCTGAAAGCTCTTTGTGTTCTGATCACGTCATGATTTTTATTATTATTTTGCCTTTGCAGATTACAGTTTGGTGTGCCCGTAAAAATTCCAGAAGCGTATTTTATGTTTGTTTTGTAGCAGCTTTAAAAAAGGCTTTGTTTTGTGGTGTGGAATTTTAAACTGTTTTTGGTTTATTGTGGTTTGGGCTCCTGCAGGCTACGGCCTTCATAATTAGCTGTGTTCGGTGGATTGAAAACACAGCAGGTATCCTCATCTGAGCTGAAAACAAAGTGAATCAGTGGGATGCTAAGGCTAATGAGACACTCTCTGACTACTTAAGCAGTACACAGTTGAGTACAGTACATGACCACATGGCACTCAACTGTTCTTATTGAGAGAACCATTCACAATCCTTATTCAGGCTGCATGCACACTCATGTTTACTCTGCATCCAGTACACTACCACCACTGGTATAGGAAGCAGTGTGCACAACCCATGTCTATCCTGTTTTTCCTTATGGAATACTGCAGTTTTATGCATTTCTCCATTTCTTCCATCCTAATTGAGAAAAGGAAAAACCTAGCTGTGTTTTAAGCCTGTAATGTGTCCATAGCCTCAGTGTTAGCAAGAAGGAATGGAGGTGTCTTGGCTTCCAGTCCAGATCTCAGTGTGCCCAGTAATTCAGAGTTGTGAATGAGGAACCCCTTTCCTAATGTTGGGGTGCCAGGTGCCTACCAGAACTTCAAAGGATTCCATGGCCTTGTTTCCAGATGTAAACAAGGGTAGGAATTTAACTTCACCGTGACAGGGTATCCTATGGATTCTACTTATATTCCTAGGCTAATCAGAATTTGGGCTGCGAAGCTGATCTTGGTCTTTTGCAAGGTCCAAATTTAAAAGTAGCAGTTTGAACTATCTTTGTCAGGCGTTGGAGCCTAAGCACAATACCAGAAGACAAGAGTGCCAGGTTGAAGTCTTCCGTATCACTGAGATGGAAAAACTATATGGGAAGCTCAGAAAAGGGGAAGGGCCTGTGGCTTAGCTGACTATGTTGAATAGTGGTATAGTCCTATTCCAGAACTATAGCTGGACTACAACTCACACCAGCCTCAGAGTGAATTGTCAGGGATGATGAACATCTGGAAACACCTGGAGGACACCAGGTTGTGGGAATGGTTACTCTAGGACAGTATTTCCCCAACTTGGGTCTCCAGCTGTTTTTGGACTACAACTCCCATTATCCCTAGCTGGCAAGAATATTGGTCAGGGATGATGGGAACTGTAGTCCAAAAACAGCTGGAGGGCTGAGTTTGGGAAACACTGCTCTAGGATATATATTTAATGTTTTGCTATTTTATTTAAATGCAACAACTTTTGTGATAGATTACAACGAAGCATTGTAACTTTAAACAATATATATATATACGCTGAGGTTTTCAGTAAAAGAAAGTAAGGGTACAATCGTCCAATAGTGGCTAATCTCATTCTGATTTTCTCTTAAAGGTGTCTGAAAGCCTTGTTCAGAGAGATGGAGATTTCTTGATCAGGAACTCTCTCTCTAGCCCTGGGAATTTTGTCCTTACCTGTCAATGGAAAAACACCTCTCAGCACTTCAAGATCAACAAAACCGTCTTGAGGCTCAACGAAGCCTACTGCCGTGTTCAGTACCAATTTGAGGACGAAAGTTTCGACAGCATCCCTGGCCTGGTCCGGTGCTATGTGGGGAACCGCCGGCCAATCTCAAAGCAGAGCGGGGCAATTATATTTCAGCCCATCAACAGGACTGTCCCATTGAGGTGTCTGGAAGAAAAATATGGCACTTCCCCAGCCCTGCAAAGGGAGGGCAGCATTCCGGAAGGAAAAGTGGAAACTCCAAAAAGACTGAGCCTTAATATGTGCACTCGCCAGGCCAGAGAGCAGAATTCAGCCCGAGGAAACCTTCTAAGGTATGACTATCTTGCAGCATCTGTGAGAGTTTGAGATGGATGCCCTACTCAGGAGATCAGAATGTGGCTCTAATTATACAAGGGAGGAGAGGAGAGTATACATGATCAAGGAAGCTCTATCCCTTCCCATCACACTCCATGTTGAAGAGCAACTGTCTGCCAAGGGGAGCCCATCTGTACTCATGGATCCATGTGGAAGATCCATGATTGGGTTTCTTGACTTTTTTTTTAAAAAAGGAAAAGCCTAAAAATCAGCTTTGGTTTGTCTGAAATGGCTGGGGGAAGCCATACTTTTTAATACTGTAATTTTATGTTGTGAACTGCCCTGAGATCTACAGGTATAGGCCGGTATGCAAATGTAATAAATGCTACTACTACCTGGGAAGGGCTCTTTAGCCTTTTCTCCCTGCCCGGTTCTCTTTTAAAATCTATCAACCCTTTGCTCTTAAAACATCTATTAGCCCTGTTTTGGGGAAAAGGCTGGTGCCTGTGTTTTTATCTCTTCCCCCCACCCGAATGAGCCTATTAGTAGCTTTGTGGCAGTGATTTCTGTTGCTGGGAGAAACGTTAGGCACCCCCATGCCCAGTGCTGCTGTTACAAGTCCATCTCCCTGTTTTCCCCCATCCTCCAGCTGTTTAAGGTTCTAGAGATCCAGACATCCTTGTTCCTAGCACTGCTTTTAAGTAGCATTGCAAATCAACTAAATCCACATTCATTAATATCACTCCTTTTGCTCACAAAGTTCACCCCATTTTATCCTCAGAACAATCCTGTGAGGGTGGCTTGGGTTCAGAGTGAGAATGTCTATAGACATACACCATGTCTATAGACAATGGTGGTGGGGAGAGACTTTTTTGTGGTTTTGTGCTTTGGGATCATCAGTCGAGAGAGTCAGATGCCTGGTGGCCTCGCAATGAAGAGATCAAGCAGGGATGTGAAGCTCATGGCTCAAAGAGTATGGTCTGTGTGCAGAGGCCTAATGGAGAACATAAAAATTTTAATTAACATGAATTAACATTGTGACGTTCCTCCCCTTTACAGAAACAAAGAAAAAAGCGGTAGCCATCCAGCCTGCTTGGACCATGTTCAGGAGAAGAGATTCCCCCTGAAGGCTCACCAGTCGGAAAGCTACCTGCCCATCAGTATGTGTCACCTGAGCTATGTGTTTGGAGCAAAACAGAGGGTGTTGCGGTGGTGGGCTGCTGTTCACTGAGCTTCTGTTTTAAACATGTCCTTGGGGAATTGTACACTTTTTATTGTCTGGGCACAAGAAAACAACAAACACATTGTACATGCCACCCATTCATTGCATAATCCCTGCCTTTCTCTTCAATCCCCCAATTTTGAAGAACCAAACAAGAGGTGGGAGTGTTGGCTGGACTTGCCTCATAAGACTTTGGAGAGTGTGGGACATTGCCCCCCTCCTGCCCCCCTGCTTTTTCCATCTAACAAAAGTTGCCCTCAGCAAAATCTCACATGCCACCTGGAGCTTTGCATCTGCAATGATTTGCATGTGCCTTAAAGGTCTTTGTAGGTATTTTCCTGCATTCTGGAAACAATTAGCTTTACATGAGCTATGCTCTGAAATCCATTCCTGTCATAACTCCTTGTGCACTCAGGTTCCCTTTTCGGAAAATGTTCTTTCCGTGCAAAATGTGGGGCTATTTCTTGTGAGTCACAAGCTCTCATTTCTGCTCTTACCCATCAGCTTCAGTTACAAACCAGTTCCTATTCCAAGCCCTGGAGATTTTCCACTTCTGACTGTACAGCCCGGAACATTATCATACTCACTGCAGAATAATGTGACAGTGCAGCTGCTCTGTATATCTCTGAATATTTTTTTGGGGGGGGGGAGGACTTGTATATTGGTGGAGCTTTACGCTTCACTGTCTCTAAACTATGTATCTTAAGTATGTGGCATTGGGAAGAATGCAAGGCATCCCAAATATATTGTTTGGTTTGTAACTATGGTATGTGTACTTGTGTTAACTGCCCTGAAATCCTCAGATGAAGGGTAGGGTAGAAAAACAAACAAACAAACAAATACTTTAACCAAGGAAATAATGAGTTGACAAAATTAGCTCCAGGGGTGACATATTCATTATGTTCAGATATGAAATGTCCAGCATGGAAATGATGCCTCTGTGCAAGAATGCAGCACTTGCCTGAAGACCAAGGCCTGCTTGGCTTGACAGAACCCAGTTTCTTTCTCTCTGAACCCTCCTGCCTCTCCAGACAAGGGCGTACCTAGGGTTTGGCCCAATTGCCAAGGGCACAGGCCCAGAGGGGTGCAAAAACCATGCCTTTCCACTCTGGCTCAGCTCCTCTAGTAAGGGCACAAGGGAGCCTAGTACGCCTCTCTGTTCAGCTCCAGGACATTACAGAGAATGACTGGTTTGTGCATCCCTCCTCTGTGCTCTTCAGGGGACTCCAGTTCTCGAATGTGAGTACATTGCAGCGCACAGAAGAGGAGGGAAGATGGGCCTGGGGGCTGCATGTTGCCTGCATGCCCCACCCTTCAAAAAACAGCTAGTAATTTGTTGAGTGAACACTTTCACAAGGCCACTTCAGTGTGTGAAAACCTGACAGGGGTAGATTGCTTTGTGATACCCTTTTGCGTGAGTGACTCCTGAGGTCAGCCACACTTGCGGCCTTTCAACACCTTGCTCACCCATCAATGACTGGGATGGGAAGGAAAGCCTGCCATTTCTTGCCAAGGCATGTGATTCTAGATTTTGGAAGTCTTCTTCCTTCTCTGTCTCCCTGACAAGCGCTGCTCCCTTGCCATTTGGTAGCTCCTAACCTGTGTTGCCTCCTCCTTTTAACTTCCAGGTTCAAGGTACCCATCTCAGGGAACTGAAGTTGAAACCAGCCCTTGTCCCAAGTCGCCAGCATTCAGGACAGGCAGTGAGCCCGCACTGAGCCCTCAGATGTTCCGGAGAGCTGCCTCTGAGTTGCAGCTCATCGATGCTCTCAGGGGTTCGGACAGCCAGCTGTACCCCAGGCCTCCGCCCAAGCCCAGCAAAGTCCCCTTTCTGAGGCCACCGCACGGTTCGGAGGCCCTGTATTGTGAATTGAACGCAGCGTTTCCCACAGACTGTGGGGTGACAAAGCAACCTTTATGCCAGAAGGACAGCTTTGTAGAGCATCTGGCAACGAGGGAGAATGGGACACATTCATCCAGGCATTCCAAAAGGAGCTACTTGATCCTGGGCGACAATGACTCTTTGCTGAGCGCTGCGGACCCACTCGTGGCCCAGACGGAGATGTGCAAAGAGAGCAGCGTCTTTGTCGCGCCTGTTCTTGAGATGTTCTCCAGTTTCAGGCCTAACGATTTTGAGTCCAAGCTCCTTCCCTCGGAAAACAAACCCTTGGAGACAGCCATGCTGAAAAGGGTGAAGGAGCTGTTCACAAACAACAGTGCAAAGAGAATCGCTCTGCATATGCTTAAAATGGACTGCAAGGTAAACTGTCTGTTTCTTTTTAAAAAAGGTAGTAGTACTGTATTGGCCCAAATATAAGCCACATTTCCCCCCCAAATTTGGGCCGTAAAAAGTTAAAGAGCGGCTTATATCCATGACCTTAATGCACAGCTCCTCCCCCCCCCAAGGAAGCAGCGCACTGCCTGCCTGCTGCTCCCAAGCCTCCTAAGGAAGGGGGAATGGGGGGAGGCCGCTGGCAAAGCTGCACGGCTCCTCCCCCCCCCCGCAGAGCAGCCCGGGAGCACAGGGCAGTGGCTTGCCACCTACCCGCCACTCCCAAGTCTCCCCCAGCGCTGGCTTGGGAAGGTAGTGCCAGGAAGTGGACTGCACCCACAAATAAGCCTTGAATTTTAAATGTGCGGCTTATTTGCGGGTGCATCTTATATTTGGGCCAATACGGTAAATAAGGCTAAATGGAAGTGTCCTTTCAGGAGTAATAGCCATTTTAGATCAGACCAGGAGTTTGTCTAAACTAGTAACCTAGGAAAAGGGCATTTCATTGTGATGGATCCTTCTTAATGACAAGGAGCCCATCCACACCATACATTTAAAGTACATCCAGTGCACATGACTCCCCCCCCCCAAAAAAAAAAGAATCATGGAAACTGTAGTTTGTTAAGGGTGCTGGGAGGCAATAGCTCTATGAGGGGAAACTACAGTTCCCAGGGTTCTCTTGTGCTTTACATGTGTACAGTATGTTCTTTAAAATTATTGTGTTGGTGGTTCCACCACTTGTTGCCACATTTTGGACCAGTGGCAAGTTTTCAAATGCTGTTCAAAAGCAGCCTCGCATAACACGTGCATTGCAGTAATCCAACGCGGACCCTAACACAAGCAGGACAGTGTGGCAGGAGAGGGTTCATGCAGCCTGTGCACCAACTCATCTCTGGTGAAAGGCATTTTTTGAGCCATAGAACACATGGTGCTTGATTTCTGCTTCTGCACGCTCAAAGCAGAACAGCATAGACTCCAGGTCCGACTTAGCAGCCAGAACAGCGTAGCCTCAATCAAATCATAGCAATTAGAGGGGCAGAAGGGAGCTGAATTTAGACCTTCCTCCTCTGATCTCAGCTGGTTGGTGCCGTTGATGATTTGACTGTGGCTGCATTCATATATGGACAGATCAAGGCTAGGTCTTTCTGGCACGTTACTTGCCCAGAAGGAATTGTGACTGTCGGGAAATGGATGCACTATATAAAAACGCTTCCTTCTGGGCGAGTAACTGACTGCAAGTCTGCACAAGAGGAGCGCTACCATATTGTTTGCTTGGGGTGAGGTGGTGGGAATCTCAACGTTGTCTGATGAAACTTAAAGGATTTCTGGTCTTGAGAGAAGGGCTTGGGTTAGATGGCTGTGTTCTGTGAAAGACAGAATGGCTCAGGAGACAGCAGTCGTGCAGTCAGCAGAGCTCCAGGAAATAGTTTTGTGCATTGTATTGGCAGAAGAGGCTGCAAGAGCTAGAGAGGAATGCTCATTTATTGTAGGAGTATTGATCTCACTTTAGTTTTGGTAAAAGCCCAAATCACTTTCAATTCCCCATGTATCTGTCCCAGGATGCAGTCAGCCAGCAAGGTAGCTAATAACTACATAGACTCCACAGCAGCTGGATCCAAGATTCCTGGCATGCTAACTCTGCCCTCTAGCGGAGCTGTCTTTGAAATAAGTGAAGCTATCTGTGTTTGTAGCAACAAAGAATTTAGATCCTCCTGGCAGTTGTTTGGGGTATACTTGGGAGCAGGCTCTAGAGTTTGCCAATTTAAGCAGCAGGTTTTTGCAGAGGACAGGATTCCTTGTGATAGATACCACTAGGAATGCCACAGGGAGTCTAGGAGATTTTTTTTTTTAAATGAGATGATATGATAGCCATCTTCAAATATCTAAAGGGCTGTTACATGGAGGATGGACCAAGCTTGCTTTCTCTGCTCTGGAGGGTACGGCCAATGGATTCAAGTTACAAGAAAGGAGATTCGAACAGGAGATGGTGGACTTCCCTTCCTTGGAGGAGGTTTTTAAGCAGAGGTTGGACGGCCATCTGTCATGGTTGCTTTAGTTGATGTCCCTGCATTGCAGGGGGTTGGACTAGATGATCCTTGGGATCTCTCTCAACTCTACAATTCTGTGATTCTATGGGCTGGTCACATTGCATACTGCAAGAGCCATGCTGACGAATGCCTATCCAAATGTACTGGCAGGGTGGGAAGATATGGCAACAGCTGTATACAAACCCGCAGTGGTCACTTCAAGCTATTGTGATCACAAGTACCTCTTCTAGGTTTTGTTTCATGTTTAGAGGCAACAGTTGGATGGTGAGCTTCCTATATGGAAACACCCCAAGTTAATGGGATAAGCTTTGTTTTTATTTGGGAGATAGGGATTAAAAGCAGTCTTTTGTGCTGCAGCACATCTTCCCCGCTCACTTTCTGTGAGAATGACCCATTACTTCGAATCCCTGCTTGATACCACCCAGGTGTCATATGGCATTATCTACACACAGCTTCACAGCGTTACCTCCCCTCTTTCTGTCATTGGTTCAGTGACACTCCTTTGAATGCTTCCCCCTAAAGCTATTACAGGCTTGTTAGAATCAACAGCTTCTTTGAGGATTCTGTAAATCAAGTTGGCATCAGCTGCAGTCCATTGCACCAAGAGGGACGGTGAGGACCTTTCCGGCACTCTCCTCATTACTCAGAGCACTCCACTCTGAGAGCTTAATCTATATTTATGTTCAGTTTAAACCGGGCACTAGAGGAATTGCCTGTCTCCTGACATTGCATTTGCCCCGGTCACAGGAGGGTCTCCAGATGAGATTGGTTAAGCCAAGTAGCATTTGGGGCCCGTTATTAGAGAGAGTGAGGGTAATATTACTAATGACACATAGTGCCACCTGCCTGCAGCCCAGAGGGGCTAGAGGTCCCTCATGAGGACGATGCTGGATACTTCGACGATGCCGTAAAATATGACGGCCATTATGACTCATCAAAGATTTCTGGCGGATGTTGTAAAATGTGCCAGATGCTTCTCTTGCCTGTTGGTGATAAAGCTGGCAATGCTGTCACAGGCCTGCTGCTGTAACACATCTCCTGGTGGTGATCTTGGGAAGGGGGTGAATGGCTAACCCAGACGATCTCACGCACAAGTGACTTCAAATCACGGTAACATGGTGGTCACCAAGGAAGAGACAATACACCTCTTTACAGTGGTACCTCGGGTTAAGAACTTAATTCGTTCTGGTCTGTTCTTAACCTGAAACTGTTCTTAACCTAAGGTACCGCTTTAGCTAATGGGGCCTGCCGCTGCCATATGATTTCTGTTCTCATCCTGAAGCAAAGTTCTTAACCTGAGGTACTATTTCTGGGTTAGCGGAGACTGTAACCTGAAGCATCTGTAACCTGAGGTACCACTGTATTTCACCGGCATACCCCTTTTGTTAGCAGCGAGGGTCATGTCACCTCCAACTGATGTGGGTTGAATGGGTGGGGTTGCATTTGTGTATAATATGGCTACTATTAGCAGAAACCCTCTGTCTTGTGGGAAGAAAAGGCTAAGGAGTAAACCCTAAAAAAATCCGGAGTGGAGTCCTTCAAGTGGTTGGGTGGCACCTTGTACACCACCTTCTGGCAACTCCTGCAGTCAAGCTGGTGCCAAAACATATTGCTCTGCTTTCCTTTGGACCACATCAGCGAGGCTGAGAGGGAGGACTTGTTCGGGCAGCCCAGGACTTCCATATGCATTGCCCAGGCTTATGCCCCGGAGAGGTCACTTTGGTGCTGGTAACGCAGCAGTTATGAGTTAGAGGTCTCTGCAGCCACAGCAGGTGCTGTGATTCTCTAGTGGTTTGACTTTACCCCTAGAGGTGCACTCCATTGTCTCTTGAGACCAGTTGATGGCAACAATTAGCAGAAGGGTTACAAAAATGCAGGAAGGAGGTGAATTTGAAGCATTTTACTGAAAGGCTCAATTGCTTTTCAAAGCGGTTGACTTGTGGGCAACAGTTTAATCAAGACAGCCGCCAGCAGCCAAACCCAATTCCTTAGGGGTTCGTTTAGCCCTGAAGAAGAGCCGTCTGACTTAAAACACGCCAGGCCTTAATAAACCGCTTTAAATTCACCTTTTGAGGTGCATTTGCTTTGTGTCATGTCATTTAGTGCAACAAATGTGTTGTGTTCCTGTGCGGGAGGTTAAACAAATCCTAGCATAGATTGATCTCTTGATTGGTTCACCTTTCCCCTGGCAAGCCTAGAGATTGCTGCCTTTCTGTTTGGGCTTTTTCTCTGCCTCCCTCTCCACCTGTAGTTAGGGTAAATGAGAAAGCCATACCACTGTTTCCTATGCTTGTAACCCACCTTCCATGATGCAACTTAGGATCTCACACAGAGATCTCTCTGGTAGTACCCCTGTAGCTTCAACAAGGCCAGCTCTTGGGATGTTTGACAACACCCCATTGTGTGCCTTTTCTATACCATGTCCTGGGACTGCCTGCTAGGATTAAGCTGTGCTCAAATGGACAATTTTTGTTGATTACTGTTTCCCAACACAGCTGAAACAGACCTATAGCTTAAACTGTATGCAGTAAAAATCTAAAAACTTGATTATATTTGCTTGGCTTTTTTAAAAAGTTTCTACTTCAACTAGGGAAACAATTCTTTTTGCAACAAATTTTAGCATGTCGATAGACTAAGTGTTAAGATGCGAATGGAACCGTGAGCTCAATAACTGTTCCACCCAAGCGAGGACCATGGAAGGGAACCTCAGTGGAATTTTGTCTATGGGGAACAGCTCTTGAGGTTCATGGTGGGCTGCAGTGGAATGAGGAACAGCAAGGAAAGGGGAGCTTGGGGGTTTGCCAGCCAACTGGGGGTGGGGAGGAGCAGGGAAACTGACCTGCTCTTTTGTCGCTTTAAAAGTACCCATGTGTAGAAATCAACAGGTGAACCCTTTCACAGTGTAGAGACAAGCGTCACCATCTGATAAAAGCAGCTATTGAAAGCACAGTTGCAGTTGCAGGCTGAAAAGTTGGCAACCCTAGCAGGAGCTCTGTATAACCAACACTGGATCCCCATGAAGCATTTGAACGGAACAATCGTGTGTCCCTTCGAGAGAGAAGCTGGCTTTACGTTTTATGAATTGCTTGAGCAAGCTGGCAGCCTTTGGATGGTAGCTGCTCTGGCATGTAAAGCAGCAAGGAGCAATTGGGGCTGCTGAGGGTTTTCAGCATAAATGTTTGTTAATGTTCAGGCTGCCTTGTCTCCACCCTGACTCATTCCGTACGCACTCTTGCTGCACTTGACAGGTTGCTAGGATACTGGAGGTCTCCGAAGAGATGAGGAGAATCATGGGAGTGAATTCAGGCCTGGAACTTATTACGTTGCCGTATGGACACCAACTGCGCCTCGACATAATTGAAAGGTAAACGCTGTTATTGCTACCTTACAAGTTTCCTTCCCCTTGTAGGCTCTGCGGAAAATATCAGGCTGCCGAGGAAAATTGTCAGGGGTTCATTGTTGTTCTCTGTAAAAAAAGTATTTGTCAGTTCTGCCTTTCCTCCCACTATTTATCTATTATGGCATAGATTCCTAACGGATGACATACTAATAGATTCTCAGTGATAGGGTGTGATTTTGGTGGGCTGCTGAGAGGCTAAGCACCTTTTACAAAATGACTATTCAAGGAAAAAATTGAACCTATTATTATTATTATTATTAGCTTCTGAGCATGTTTACATGGACACCAACATTGCGGGGGTGGGTTGGGAAGCATTTAATCATGAACTGTGAGCAGGTTTTTGTAAATAAACCATGATATCAAGGGAAGTATTTTATTTTTTTTAATGGAAGATATTCTTCAGCAGGAAAAAAGTCCAAAAAGATCTGTAGCACGACCTGAAAAACTAAATGCCTTATGTTCCCACATGTCGCCAGCACAGATAATCCCAGGAATCTTAAGTGCAAAACATCTCTTCAGGGACTCTGAAAGCCTCCTTTGAGGCCTACAGAATAATACCTTGTCTGCATTCAAAGCCACCAGGCTGCCCCTCCTCTTCAAAAAGTTGCATGCAGTGGTTTAGAGCTTTTAGCCAACCATGTGGTTGCCATGGTTTCCTGCTCCAGATCAGAGAGAGACCCATTGCACGGAATGGTCTGACTGGCAAATAGCTCCTCTTGCCAAGCAACAAGATGACCCACTCCTGTGCTTTTGTCACAGACATCTTCAAATTGCTTTGCCAGTCTTGGCACCTCTGCTGCCAGCATGGGGGCTGGCAAGTTCTTTCCTCCCAGGCCCTTCCAACTGGGATGGCATTCTTTTGTTGGCGTGTTATGCCTGGTCACAGGCATTACTGTCTCTCCAACCCCTTTCTTCTTCCTTGAAAGGGTGGGTAGCTACGATGAGAGTATTATCAAAATGATCGTTAGGCGTTGAGAGAATTCACTCTGAATGTTCTCAAACTCACTGCTGGAGCTTGCTTAAATAGCCCCAAAGATTTTGAAAAGCTGCCAATTAGGTTGATGATTGGCTAGTTTTCATACTGAAACAACGGCTATGTTCCCACATCATGGTTAACCATAGATAATGGCTTATTGTAAACACGGAAAGGGCTCCCACTGCACTCCTTTTCTAGTGCAAGCAAGAGTTAACAAACCGTGATTCCTGGATTGGCATGCTTCAAACAAACCATAGAGTAAAGCCAATCTTGGTTTGCTTGAGCAGAACAGATGACAATTCCGATTTTGGATGTAAGTCTAAGCCCAGGGATCATGGTTTGCTGCATGCACAAAGAAATGAGCTAAGAGGGAGCCATCTCCACATTGATAATAAACCATTAATTAAGCCAATGAAAGCTGGCAGGTTGATTATTCTGGTGTGATCCTTCTAAATGAATATTTTCCTCTTACATAGAGATTTGTCACACTGTGGCAGATTGATAGAAATGTATTGTAACAATACTTGCAATTTTTATTCACTTAATTGACTTAAACATTTTGATCGGCTAAATGATTAATTGGACAATTTATTTTGGGGACCAGTAAGAAGAAAAGCATTTTTAAAGCCATAAAAACAATAATTTTAAAAATTCATCCATACCCACACACACACTTTCAGATATGTTCCTCCAGGAAGGAAGTGCCTGCTTGCGAGTGTGCTGTGCAACCTCTAAGAACAGAGAGCACTTGCTTTCTTCAGATCTCCTGCTTTATTATAAATAAATGCATGCTGCATGATGTCACCACAGTACTTTAAGGTCATATTCGTGCTTGGATTCAGTTCCACGGGCAGCTTGAAATCTCATGGCTCTCCTGATATCTTAAGACTGTTTCTGATTTCTTTCCCCCTTTAGACACAACACCATGGCAATAGGGATAGCAGTTGATATTCTCGGCTGCACAGGAAACTTAGAAGAACGAGTTGCAACGTTAAACAGGATCATCCAGGTCGCTGTGGAACTCAAAGACTCCATGGGGGATCTGTACGCATTTTCAGCTATAATGAAAGCTCTGGAAATGCCTCAGGTAAAAGGAATTCCCCACATTAAACTATTTAACATGCAATCTTAAGGTGTGGGGAAAGAGGAACTGCCTTTTGTGCTGAGCAAGGCATTGGATAAGGTTCTGGCACTCTTCTGTTCATTTCCTGTTCTGGAATACCCGACTCTCCTCCTCCCAACACCCTGGCTTGACCAAAGAGGTTTCTCCAACATTGACTCTCCCTCTCTGATATGGGATGGGTGGATCTATCCTATGACTCCTGGGACACCTTGCAGACTGTAAGATTGCATCCACATGAGGGGTTCACACACAAAACTAAGCCATTGTTTATTAAATCACAGCTTAGCATTATGTCTGAACCCATCGCAGCAACTTAACTATCGTCTACTAACTGTGGTTTAAGTTCACTCATTAACCAACGTTCATAATTGGCTTGCTAACCTTAATAAATAGCATGTAAGCCTGGATTTCCTCAACTATAATTAAGAAGCCTTCTGTAGTATAAGGAATTAACTGTAGGCAAAGAGTGAAGGCTGCGAGTGAAGAGCAGCAAAGAATCCAAACTGATTTCAATGCTACTCTCACTAGTAGGTAAAAATGACCCACAGGGCTGGTAAAAAACACACACCACCTTACTGTCAGGAATGGTTCTCCAGATTTAGTCCCATCTTCCCTGATCATCGAGTGGGGTTGGCCAGTGTTTGCAGACCTGTGGCATTTCTGTATTTATGGCTGTCCTCGTTACCGCTCATATTTGTTTGTATCTTTATTAAAATGTGGTGAGTAAACCCTAGTGCTAGAGATTGAGCCAGTGTTGAGTAGACGTCATTCACATCCTTGCACATCCAGTGCTTATTCCAGCACCACAGAGTAGCAATTACAATTGTAGTTCAAGATGCACAAGGATTCCTAACAGGCGCTAAGAAATATGCTGGGTGATCAGCGATCTGCTTCCAGATTTGCAAATTCATCATTTATACAGGAATTAGCTTTAGTGTAGCCAAGCTCATTAGATCTTATGGGTAACGCACATCCACAAGTAAAATGGCAGGCTGGAGGGTTTGTTGAGTTGAACTGCTGACTTGGGAGGGCCCAAGCCTACTGCTAAAAAACAAGTCATTCCAAAGTGTGGCAGATTTGCTACACCCCTTTGTTGGGATCAGATATCTGGGAAGAACTGTTTTTACAGGGTTTTCCAAACTTTGCTCCCCTGCTGTTTTTGGACTACAATTCCCATCATCCCTGACCACTAGTCCTAGCTAGGAATGATGGGAGTTGTAGTCCAAAAATAGCTGGAGACCAAAATTTGGGACTCCAAACAGGTTGGAGGGCCCAACCAAGCTTACTGCTAAAAGGGAGTCCTTTAAAGGAAGCAGATTTGCTGCAGCCCTTTGCTGGGATGAGCTGTTTTTAAACACCTTGCAGGGCTAGTGGCTGGGACGGCTTCAGCTAACAAGCAAATGTTCTAGTCTGCCGCTTTATCCAGCATGTTATGGCAGTTTCCCATCGGCAGCCTCTGCTCATAAGTGATGCAAACTGCACACTTGATGGAACAGCAGCAAAATGTTGCTGATTTGTATGAAATACCCCTTCTTTTAAGTTGCACCATGTTCAATTTTTGTTGTTCAGGGACTGCTTGACAGTTTAGCTATTCTTCCTCTACAGGTCACAAGGTTAGAGCAAACGTGGACCGCTCTGAGACACTGCTACACACAAACAGCCATTATATATGAGAAGCAGCTAAAGCCGTTCAGCAAAGCCTTGCATGAAGGAAGAGGTAAGTTAGGGCAGCTGCATCACATTTATCACTGTCATCATCAGTGGAGTCTAATCAAGTCCATAGGCCACATCTGTTATTGCATTAATGGAGAGTGCGGGAGAAAGCCCAAGTCCTAAAAGTGATGGTAACGGACAAAATGCATTAGATGTAACCACATCCTGCCTTACTCATGGTTCATTCCTGTTGTGTGGGGAAAATAACTCAGGAAGGAGGGGTATTCTATCATTCCCTGTCACTGAAATGCTTTGAACAAAATAATCCATGTGCATTGCATGAATTAGATCTTCAGGAACAGTGAATAATTTCCACTGAACATCTAATTTGCTTCTCTGGTGATGCAACAAGAAGAAACCTATGGCTAGGTCAACTTTTATCCACTTGCCAAACAAAGAGCACAAGTCATGGTTAGGGAGAGGAGCAGGAACCAACAAAAGGGGTTGTATCTGCATCAGCCAGCATTTTGCTTGGGGCGAATTGGTGGTCATATTACAGAACTGCAATAACCAGCAAATTAATGAAGTCCTGCTTGTGTATGACACGAGATAGGCTGGTTCCTCTAGCTAGCAGGGGGGCAAAATGTAAATGTTTGTTTGTTACCTCCTTTTCAGAGGCAACCTGCGTTCCACAGAATGTGGTCACTGTCCCCCTGCTGATGCCTCTTGTTATGCTTCTGGAGCGCCAGGCTGTCGTGTTTGATGGAATGGACGTGTGGGAGAACACGGACCAAAGCTGCGAAATAATGCTGAAACACTTGGCGACTGCTCGCTTGATAGCGCAGAATGCTGACCTGTACAGTGCAAATGCGGAAAGGATCTTAGCAGGTAGGAGGGGAATGTACTTGCTGCGCACTGTTTAATTCCACAGAAATGAGGGGGGAGGTAATCACATCCAGGGCTCTTGAAAACCGGTCTTATTTCTTAGATCTTCCCTTGCAGAGTGATGGTGCAGGATGGATGTGCATCCAATGCACCTCCTGGTATTTGCAGTCTGCATAAAGTAGCAGCTTTGGTGTACGCTGTGCTTGTTGCCCATGTCTATACAGTGTTGTAAGCTGGAACCAGCTAAGTCTTGCAAGTAGATTCAACTGAGGAACAAAGTACCTGCCCTTTTTAGGTACTTGCCATGACTAGTTATATTTGAAGCACAACAGCTTCAAATTGGGCCTAAGAAGCTGATGTTTAGGCTTTGTTGTAGGTGATACATCTATGAGAAACATTTCTCCTTACTAGGTTTAAAGTATGGTTGGATGAATAGGTTTTTAAGATGACAAAAGCTTTATGGGATGAGATTGGCAGGTCCAGAACTAGTTTCCTTGTTTATCCAGTTTGGTCACTGGGGGGATGGGAGGCAGCCCTCCACTTTGGCTACCCTCCTCAAAGTGGCTAGTTTTTTATATGAAGAGCATCCCCTAGGGATGCAGTCATGTGGAAGAATGATAATCTGACCCAGTGGTGTAGCAGAGGCAGCTCCTTTGCCTTATGGGCAGACTGCAACAGCAGCTTCACTCAGGTGGTATATCGTGGGTGAAACTGCCACTGCTCCTGAGTCCAGCTTCACCCGCAATACAGTGGTGCCCTGCAAGACGGACGCCTCGCAAGACAGAAAACCCGCTAGACGAAAGGGTTTTCCGTTTTGGAGGCGCTTCGCAAAACGAATTTCCCTATGGGCTTGCTTCGCAAGACGAAATCCCATAGGGAAATCTCCGGGACAGCGGGGAAGCGCAGCGCGTCTTCCCCACTGTCCTCGGACCTCCTCCGAAGCCGGGCGGCGGGGCGGGAACACCTCCTGCCGCTGCTGGGCTTCGGAAGGCTCCTCCGAAGCCGGGCGGCGGGGCGGGAACACCTCCCGCCGCCGCCCGGAAAGCCTGGGCGCGCTGATCTCAGCGCACGCAGGCTTCGGCATGCTGGCAACTCTCCGCAAGCAGCGGGAGCGCTCCCGCTGCTTGCGGAGAGGTCCGCGAAGCCTGTCCCGGACAGCTTTTGAAGGCAGGCGGGGGGGAGCAAAGACCTTCGCCCCTCGCCTGCCTTCAGAAGAGGTCCAGGACCTCTTCTGAAGGCGGGCGGGGGGCGAAAGTCTTTGCTCCCCCCTGCCTGCCTTCCCGGGAGAGCGGAGAAACGCAGCGCATTTCTCCGCTGTCCCCGATGGCTTTTGAAGGCAGGCGGGGGGGGGGGGAGCAAAGACTTTCGCCCCCCGCCCGCCTTCAGAAGAGGTCCAGGACCTCTTCTGAAGGCTGGCGGGGGGCAAAAGGCTTTGTCCCCCGTGCCTGCCTTCCCAGGGGCTTTTAAATCGCCCCGGACAGCGGAGAAGTCCTCCGCTGTCCCGGGGTTTTTTAAAATGCTGGGGGTGGGAAGAAAAGCCCTTGTCCCCCCCCCCAGCCTTCAGAAGAGGTCGGGGGACAGACTGTCCCCGGACCTGGTCTGAAGGCGGTTTCCATAGGAACGCATTAATTGATTTTCAATGCATTCCTATGGGAAACCGTGCATCGCAAGACGAAAAACTCGCAAGACGAAGAGACTTGCGGAACGAATTAATTTCGTCTTGCGAGGCACCACTGTATACCACTGAGTGAAACTGCCCTCATACCAGTAAAGAGGGAGGAACAAGCTGCTTCGGTGAGGCGCCAATACTGCTTGTTCTTCCACTTCTTTAAACTGCTCCACTGAGGAGCATGGCTGTCTCATGTAAAACTGCCAAGCAGTTTTACGGAGCCACCAGCTTGCACAAGGTGGCAGCTCCATGAAACTGCTCTGCTGAAAGGTGTGTGGTTGCTGCTTCCCTTACCTAAGCTGTTAACGGAGCCCTGTGCAAGCCAGTGGAGAAGCAGGAGAAGGATTGGGTTGCGAAGCTGCTTCCTCACTGGGGCGAAACCACCTCAGCGATGTCACTCTAACACCTTGCAGCGCTGTGGTAGGAGAGTAGGGTAAACAACGTGGTTTATCACCAGATCACGAAGTTTGCTTCTACAGATGCTCCTGCATAGAAGAAGCAGTGCCAGATTTCTGAGCTGGCCTTTTCAGTCTGTTGCAGTAAAAGGTGCTTGTCTTGGATGCCTTCATGGTGAGAAGGCTATTTTACAGTAATTTATTTTCCATTTCCTCCCATCAGGTTTTCAGCCAGATGACGAGATGAATGAGATCTTCAAAACAGAATTTCAGATGAGATTGCTCTGGGGCAGCAAAGGAGCACAAGTTAACCAAAGTGAAAGATATGAGAAATTCAACCAGATCTTAACTGCACTCTCCCGAAAATTAGAACCCCCTTTAGCAAAACAGATTGAGCAGTGAAATGCTCAATGGACACTCAACTATATAGTTGGTTCAGTTACTTTACTTAAAGAAAATACACTGTAAAACAGGCCTGCATCAAATGTTTGCCTTTCCCTATCCTCTCAGAGTAAGAAGAGGGTGCTTTTGGGGGGTGGGGAGGAAGTACTTCCTGAAAAGTATTTTCCAGGAATATTTGCATTCCCTGACAGACTTTTTGTTTGGCACATTCTTAAAAACTGTTTCTCCTTACTGGCAGTAGGTATTCTAGCCAAAACAGGGATCACAATGTGAATTCACATGCACGGCCCCTCTAGAAAAAGGGTAGCGCTTTCTGGGTCATAATTGAGGAAGAATTGCTGAAGGGGGTGTGAGAGTACTTGTTGCCACTGCCAATCGTTTTTGCATACTTTTGCTGTATGCAGTTTCATTTGCAGCACCTTCGGGATTTGTAAATTGCACCATGTGCATTTTTTTTATTATTTAGTTGCCTAATAAGATTTGACTACTGATTTACAAAGGAATCATTATTTATTTATTATGGATATCTTTAATTATCTCTCGCTCAACAAAGACACTGTCCTGTTACGTAAAGTATTGCTGACACAGTGGTTTTATTAGAGTATTTTTAGTCTTGCATCAAATAATGTTATTAATAAACTGTAATGTAAGTAAGACTAGAAGTTACAGGAATGGCTTTGCAGAAGGTATCAGTTGTATGATATCCCTTAAAATGGATAGGGAAACTTGTACATGTGCTTGTGAATTAAAGCATCTCATGGTGGAAGTGTTTTGTTTTGTTTTTTGCCTCAGTGAAATGGGAGTGAGGGGCCCAAGCTGTCCAGAACTGACCTGCTCATCTTTGCTCCTGAACTTTCTTCTCTCTCCAACTTCCATCAGCCCCAAGCAGCAAGGGTAGTGATAAAGGATGATGGCATTGCTCTCAGCAGCCAGAAACATAACTAGACACTGCAAGGACCTATCAGGAATGAACACAGACCACTGGCACCAAAACGTATGGCAAACTGCCCTATTAGAAAAGTTGAGCAACAAACTTAAAACTTAGCACAGGGACAAACAAAGGAGGATGCCTTCACCCCAGTATGGTCCCCAATGACCTATCCCCCCCAAATCATACAAATCAATATGGCTAACCTGACCCCCCACATATACACTAGCAACACTGCAACCAAGCAAGCTCAGGACTCCCCTAATCTCTCACAATATCAATGAAAAATTAATACGTAAACAAAGGACCTACCCACATGATGCTGACACAAACCACTACACTAGGCAACACAACAAAAAAACAGTACCACCTCCCCCCCCACACTCTTTTTTCTCCCAGCCACAAGATGTCTGCAACAAAAGTATCACTAAATGTAAATGAAGTGGTAATGATAAATGTACCCCTGTCTGTTTTGTAACACAAAATCCTTCAAAACTAATTACAAAATAAAGGATGCATCCAGCAGCATCTGGAAGTTCACCACGTCATACAGCATTGTAATTCTGGCCCCCTTCCTTGGCTAAAACTGCTTTTATGTTCTGCTCTCCTGCCTTGAGAGCCCTCACTGCCCCCTGTCCACAATTGTTACCACAAATGTATTTCATTACTTATATCATGTAACATTTCTCAGATCCCCTGATGCCTGAATCAAGCCGTCTGCAGAGTCTATGGAGGAAGAGTAGACAAAGGCTTGGGAGGGAAGGTGACTGCTTTGGATTGTGATACTTCATAAAGCACCAGCCACACTATTGTTTGTTTAAAGTACCTATATATGTTCCCTCCTCGGAAAGTATCTGGGAACTATACAGGCAAAAGCATTCTCTCCCTGCAACCAGTTTGTTCAACAATGGCTCAAAGAAAAAACACCCATCTATCTTTCTGCCTGTATGCTGGTGGTGACCATGACAGGAATCCCAAGACAGACCAAACAACCAGACTTAACAAAAAAAGGCACTTGATTCCACCATGGCCTGCTGCCCACAGCTTTTTATCAAACTAGCGAAGCTGGGAAATGTGACACTTAAAAAAGAAATAAGTAAAGCAAAATAATGGCAAGGGGTTTTTTGGATAGCTTTCACACTCTAGTATATTCCTCATTGCTCTCAAGCACATGCCCTGCAATCATCGTAAGGCATGTCTTAATAATCTGCAGCTTCCCAGTCAAGAGTCACAAAATTCTGACACTTCTTTGGCATTAGAACGCTAAGGAATGAGCACACAAAAGGCCCGCTCTGGATTTTGAAGCCAGCAGAAGACGAAGGAGGCAGCTGCCCAAAGGTCTACCAAGGAAAACAGGGTTCAAATGGAGAATGTAACTGATCTGCAAGCATGCTGGCTGCTACTCCTTGGAACACATACAGACGGCACTGATTAAGGGAGAGGGGGCTGCGTAGACACTTGCTCCAAAAACTTTGCAAAGCTCCAAAGCTCGTTTCTGCATATGTGGAACTGCACAGAAGCTACAATGACAATGTCCCAGGCTATTCCATCCTCCCAAATTCCCCAACCACCAGCCACTCCCCACCCTCCCGCTGAATTCTGTACTCCACCCACCTCTGCATACCAGATAAAACAATGCTGCTTATTTGTTATATGGTCACTTACCCAGGCATGCTGAAAGGCTCTGATGTTACTAGAGGTTCTTTGCCCCTCAGCTTGCTCCATCCTCTTAACTGCTTCCTAAAGCATGTGAAGAAATTCAAGTGGAACTAAGTTAAGGGTTATAGAACTGCAAGTTAACCAATCATGTAAAGGAATTGTTCAGGTAACTTGGGGCCTTAGTTTTGGCACCAGGGATTAAATCTGCTTGTCTGAGCTGGGCCCGCTAACAGGAAAATGGGGGGGCTTTGTCCTTCTAACCAAATGAATGCTCTTGCCTTCTTCCAAGCATGAGCATGTTAACATTAAAAAGGGGAGGCACCTAAAGCCACCTATTCCTTCGCCTGCAACAGAAGACAAGGAAATTGTCCGGGCCATGAAAAGGTTGCTTTTAATTCCATGAAAATATTTTCAAGAGAACCACTATTTTTTAACAAAGCATTTAAACATTTAAAAATCAACACGTGCACAAAAGATTAAAAATTACTGGAAAGTTGTAAGACTCAAGACAATTCATCATGTTCAAAATTTCAGCATGATTTTAGCTAACTGTGCAAGTACAAATATTCCCCCTCCCTTTAAATGTAATAACCCTCATAAATTCACTGTGCCTTATACCACAGAAAGAATATCTCCTGAGGAAACAAATCCTGTTCCTAGAAAAACAGTAGCATGAAAGAACGGTTATTAGTCCTTTGCTATTGAGTTATTTAGTAGAAGCCCATGAGTTCATTAGGCAAAATCTACAGGGCTCTTGGCTGCAAGTTATATTGAGAACATTTTCTCATTATATTTAACTTTGAAATAATAATATTCTTTTTTTAAAAAAAACCCCACTAGGTCGGTCTTTTAAAAACCCAAAAGCTGGATGACTAATACAATGCAGTTTTGTCAGTAATGAGTAAAGAGGTCACATCATATAAATAACCCTGTTTACAATATCTGAAAAAATCTAACCTTTAGTGTTTAATTCCCCCCCGCCGCCCCTGCAAATACACTATGTCATTTGCGTAATAGTGGCACACTTAATAATAAAAAGAAGAGACCACAATAGTCACACAGATTTAGTTTTACTGGTAGTACAATTCCTAATAACACTGAAAAAAGTTCTAAAGGAATCCAGCACTGCTGTGTCCAAATATTGCTTCACCCCCCCACCCCACCCCTAGAAAACCGGTTGGTTTGTTTTTAACATTACCACAAACAGGAAAGAAAGCTGGATCAATGAAGCTTTTAACTTAAATGGTTCCTCCCTCCCTCCCTCCCTCCCTCCCAACTCCCCATATTCTAAGATTCCCCTATTTATTTTAGATGTAGGGATGATTTCATTAACAGAACTCACAAATGGCAGACAAAACAACGTGGGCAATATGGGGTGTGTGCTGCAGACAACTATATTTACATGTATAAACATTTCTCAAATCTCAAATGTTTACAAGTAAAAGTGCACATAGATCATTACAAAGTTATCACTCCAATTTTTCAAATGGTCCTTACAACGAAGCGTCACTTGGAAACAGACTAGCACTGCAGTTAATTAGAAACTGGAGTCTTTCCCCAACCCAACCCTGCCCCGCCAACTCAAGAAATAAGAGACAATCAAGGAAAGAAAAAAAAGGCTCCATAAAAATCCTATTAAAAACATTCATTAGACATAAAACGAAAACGATACATGTGTTTTGCTTCCAATGCATAAAGTTTACAATGCACCATGTATCATGTTGTGGCAGAGGCCCAGAAAGCATCTGCCAAGGCTACCAGCAGCTGTAGTACTGTAGAAAGATGCAGGAGGTCATTCGGAGCAGAGGCTCAGAGCCCTTTGTGATACTGAAGTGGTAAGCGTTGGCAATCAACAGATTTAGGCACTCGAGAGTTTTAAGGCAGCATCTGAATGGCAAGCACTTCTGAAAACAGTCGTTTTTGTCTTGTGGTGGAAAAAAAATCTGTGCTGTTAAATCTCAGGCTTTTCAGTGCTCACGGGTTATTGAGGTGCTGAGGACGGGCTGCTGGGACACGTTCCTTTCCCCCAAATCAAAATGAATGTTAGGTTTTTTTGCACATCAGTCGCAACACAAAAAAAGAAGAACTGGAATGTAATGATGATGGTCATAATGAGAAGAAAAAGAAAAAGGTAACAATAGCAGCATTAAGTGGAAACTGAAATGAAAAGGAAAACAAACTTTAGTGCTGGAGATAACAGAACTATAGTAAAGTGGGGTTTTGCTATGAATGCAGAAGAGGAGGAAGAGCTATGGAAATACAAAACATTAGGCAGGCAGTCCTGATATGTATCTAGACATGCAGGAGGAGGTTAGGGCGAGAATGGAGGTGGCACAGGCAGAGACTGTGAAGGATGACATGGCTTCAATTCAATGCCAGCTCAAAATGGGCATGGAAAACGAGGCAGCCGAAACAGCCAATAGGCAATGCAACGGGCAGACAGCAAAAGTAGGGCTTTTTCAGAACCACAAAAGGAATGCGTTTTCAGGTGGTTTGGTTCTGCTGAAATGGAGCGGTGGCTTTACTGTAACGATTTTGAATACACAGAGGGATGCTAACATGGTTAGTGGGTCATGTTTGCCTGCATGCCTTCATGCAACTGGCTTTTGCCCATCTTGCTGGGCCTAACTCCCTACCCCCTTCCTTCCCTCGCCCACCCCCCTAAAATAAAAAAAAGCAGCTGCATGTAACCTCCTTCAACATCTCGCCCATTTTCTCAGAAACCCGCTTCAGGAACCTGCAGTCCAAGAGGAAAAAAGAGAAGAACAGAATTACCAGAGGCCTTCAGAGAGAGAAGTGTGCTCATAGAATAAAGTAAAAATAATAAAAATAATAAACCCCTCTCAAACGGTTAGAAAATAAATCTTCCTATGCACAGGTAATGGCACCAAGCCTTTTTAAGCATCCCTAGCTTCCAGACAGCAGTTCATCCAGTAGCAAATTAGTGCAACTTTGCTTCCAGGATAACTCCCCAGCCCAAGTGAAAATGTACAGGTTATCTAGTAGCACTTAGAAAATTCTACTTATATAGGTGCATCAGCGACAATCATCAGAGTCCAGCGATCTATTCCAGGCTCGGGCGCTCCAATGTGCACACAGGGATTTTCATTTGAGCAAAGGGGAGCTCACCAGCATCCGCCTTCCTTCACGTATGAGATATGCTCCTTCTGGTGGACTGAATGGGGTGGTCCACACCGAATTCGTGCACATGAAATTGAGATGCAGCGTTGCCTGGACTCCTGGAATAGATATTTCCCAGGAGAGTTTTTCCCCCCCAAGAGTGTCGGTGCAAGAGGAGAGGAAGTTGCCTTTTACCGACAGAATAGCCTCGTCAGGAATCCCAAGCAGAAGGAAGTCATTTCAGTGACCCACGTTACATTCAAAGTCCTTAACAGGTAGGAACGAAGTAAAGCTGGGTACATCAGCACGCTGCATGCCTGCGGAGTCCCCAGTTACTCTGCTATGCACTTCCCCAGCTAGCTTCCACATTCATCCTTTGTAGGATGGGAAAGTGCCGCTCGTTGATTTTGCAAAGTAAAAACTGCAATAATGCGTACGCGACAGGCATGTTTGTAAACGTTAGCAGCAACCTCTTACACCCAAGCAATGGCTTGTACACTCGCAGCAGAAACGGCTTCTTTGTTTTCTGAACTGCTCCTCATAGCACTGGATTGCCAGCCGTTTTCCATGCACAATGCAGAACAGGGCAAGGGAACAAGGAGGAAAGACTTGCATTCAGAAAAGCAAAAGCAGATCCGCTCACCCACTTTATCTGCAGCAGGGCCATTTTCACTGCACTGGGCTTATAGTTATTAGCTGGGTATTGGAAATTTTTTTGGGGGGGTGGGGCGGATTTGGGAAGGGGGCAGGGGTTGGCTAACGGACTGTACACACTGAGGCGATGGAAATCATAGTAACAGTGATCAATTTTTAAAAAACATTTAAGCCAGTAAAAAGTTTTCCTCCCCAAAAAATAAAAATAAAGAAAACTATCAAAATCATAACAGATTAACCATTGATTGTAGGATAACGCTTAGAAGCCCTGAAGCAGACAGAGGCAGAGAAAGAAGACTTATGGACATGGCACTGGCCCAAGCTGTGTCAAGAGACTCATTGAAACGCAGACGTTCTTCCAGCTTCATCCCCGGACGAGCTCACATGGTGAACAACAGACTGAAAGGCTTCCCGAATGCTCTTAACACTTTCCATCCATCTGTGTGCTTCAGGATTCTTTAAGGAATGTTCATTGCTAAGCTGACGGGCCGGAGGTTAGATATAGGTTACTGCACCTTTACTGTTCTTCTCTAGAGTTACATCGATGTAGGATGTTGGCACGTATCCTTCTTCTCCGTTCTGCCTCCGGGCTCTAGTCCACCCATCCCCTTTATCTTCCTCTATGATGTACAGAATCTCCCCTTCCTTCATAGCCAGAGTGCCTTCGTTGTGACCTAGAAGGAAATGGGGATACACACATACGCACACACAATAAGAAAACCTTCGCCACAGCTCTCGCAGGGTTTAAATGCAAGCTCCCTCGGCTCTCGTTTTCCACCCATGGGAGGAAACATCAAATCTGTGAAGCGGAGCATATGTTCCCATTGTAGGCCAGGAGACAAAACATGGTCTCTTGTTGCAAAGCTGAACGCGCGCCAATGGCTGTTTTTCTAATCTAACATATTTGTTTTGTTACCACGCTGCCGCATTTTTCTGCCGTTAAACAAAAATGATTTATGGCATGATTTCCCAGAACCAAAACCAGCTGCTAGAATCGTTTATATGCAGACAATTATTATCTAGGTAAGGCAAAAGGTAATTGCCATATATAGGATTCACACACATTTTTGTGTGTGTGTAAATATATCTCCCTTAAGCTAATCTTACCATTGAAAGGATAGATAGCTTTGCAGTGTCCTATGGCTGGTAAGGGATCGTCATCTTCAAACTCATCGTCAAATTCGTTATGGGGGCCGTGCTGCTGGGGTGGGCTTCGAATTTCTTGGTTGGCATCATCGGTGTAGCTCCCTTCAGGGCTGCAATGCAATGGTTGAGACAAGGGAACCTTCACACTTTGCATACCAAGAACCCCAGCATTTCCCATACGCTTATTATAACATTTGCTGACCCCCGTTTCAGCTCACAGTAACTATGCATGGCAAACCCATAAATACTTATTGCTACGGATGAATACAGGCATAGGCAGGGAGTATAGATAAGATCCAAGGACAGTCCTTGGATGAAGAAGGAGCTCTGATTTCAGAACAGAGCCTATCGGATCAAAATAGGCAGAATACAGAAATGCTCTTTTAAAGCTCTGTCTATGGGAAGAGAATTATGCAACTGCTATCATTTTCTCCTCTGCCTCCCCAGAACAATGCATGGCTGTGAGAGTGGAGAAGACAACTGTATGCATGTATGCTAATACAGTGGCACCTCGGTTTATGAACTTAATCTGTTCCGGAAGTCTGTTCTTAAACCAAGGCGCGCTTTCCCCAATGGGGCCTCCTGCTGCCGGTGCCCTTCCACCGTTCGGATTCCATTCTTAGACTGGGGTAAAGTTCTCAAACCAGGACACTTATTTCCGGTTTTGCGGAGTTTGTAAACTGAATCGTTCTTAAACAGGACTGTTATTAGTCCGAGGTACCACTGTGCTCATGAAGCAAGAACCTTCACAGTCCTTGAAGTCTGCTTGCTAGGCAAAAGATAGGGTATGGGCTCCGTTCCTCATCGGCTACCCAAAATACAAATTGTACGTGTGTGGTTTCCATCTTTTTGATACAGCTTTCTAAATCAGAGGCCACATTCCTTGGGTCATTGCAGGGACTGACTAAGCCTCAGTTTCACCTTGCTAGTTACAAAAAGGTGAAGAGCGGTTGTTCCTTAACTGCAGCTAAGGAGAGATAAATACCTCACCAGCCCTTTTAAGGAGAGGGGAGGGAATAGGGAATAGGAAACTATCTGAAGTTGGATGCAATTCTTTAATCCAGTGTTTCCCAACCGGTGTTCCGCGGCACACTAGTGTGCCGCCGGACGTTGCCTAGTGTGCCGTGGGAGGGAGGCGGGCGAGTCGGGCTAATCCTCCGGCCCCGCTCCCCCGGGGAACGTGCCCCGTCATCCGCTTCTGCCTTGCTCCCTGTGACAGGAATTCCCCAAACTGCATCAGCATCTGCCGCTTGCCCAGCAGCCCCGGCGCTGCCTTGCGCCCGGCGCCCCCACCATCCTCGGCGCAGGGAGCGAGGGGCGCGCAGGCAGGCGCTGCCCGGCGGAGCGACGGCTCCTTCTGAGCGGCTGGCAGTGTCTGGGCATGACTGGCCTCCCGCCTGGTCCCGCGGCGGCTGCAGACGCGGCCGAAGCAGCGCAGGGAAGGAGACGCCCGGCCGCCCAGCCCAGCCCCGCACGCTCCCACTCTCTCTCGGCGGCCGGGGAGCGGGGCCAAAGCGGGCCCCCACCTGAGTGGCGGCTGCGTGAGCCAATAGGCGAGCTGGGGCAGAGGGGGAGGCGGGGCTCCGGAGAACAAAGGAGGGAGGGGGCACCCGGGAGAAGGGGGCGGGGCGGGAGGAGCGGGGAGCGCGGCGCTGCGCCCGGGACGCCCCAGTTCCGCCGGGTTAGAAGCCGGCGGCCTACCTCTGCTGGCCGTGGAAGGCAGCCGGGTCTGGGTCGTGCCCCGAGAGTGGCGGGGTCCGCACACAGCCTGCCCTCCAGGCTGGGAAGTGGCTCCTAGGCTCCGCCTGAAGCCACGCAGAGCCCGCAAGGCGCCCTCGGCGCAACTTGGCCGGGGCAAAAGGCGAAGCTCTGGAGGGAAAGGCGGCCGGATTCCCCTCCTCGGCGGGTCCGGTGGTCTCCCGCCTCCTCTGAGGAAGGGTCTCTTCTTCAGCTTTTCTGATCCTTCGTGGCCCCGTTGGGAGAAGCCGAAATAAATAATGGCCGTGCCATTAAAGTTCTCTCTTTTATAAAAGGGATCCTAATAGAATCGTAGAGTTGGAAGGGATCCCCAGGGCTATCCAGTACTGTACAACCCCTGCAGTGCAGGAATCTCAGCCATAGCATCCATGGCAGACAGACATCCCACCTCTGCTTAAAAACCTCCAAGAAGGGAAAAACCTCCCGAGGGAGACCATTCCCCTGTTGAACAGCCCTTACCAGCAGAAAGTTCTTTCCCATGTTTAGTCAAAATCTTTATTGTAACGTGAATCCACTGGTTCGAGTCCTACCTTCTCTACCTTCTATGCTGTTACTATTTTTTTATTTTTTTTTACATAAGTAAAAAGTGACCTTTCCCCATCTGGCATGGTGGTGTGCCTCGAGATTTTTTCATGAAACAAGTGTGCCTTTGCCAAAAAAGGTTGGGAAACACTGCTTTAATCAAATAATTCATTTTAAAAATGGATACGGCTCATCTTAAAGTGTTGCAATCAATGAAAAGATACAATAATTTAAAAAGCATTCCAAGGGAAAGCCTATAAATTTAAACACTCATCACTCAAATTTCAAGCATTCAAACGGTCGTAATTCAAAAGGTGTACAAAATGAACACTAAAATGTGCTGGACACACACACACACACACCCTACCTCTCTTTCTCTCTCTCTGTGTGTGTGTGCTGGACACACACACACACACACACAGAGAGAGAGAGAGAGAGAGAGAGAGAGAGAGAGAGAGAGAGAGAGAGTTACATGAGAGGTAAAGACAAGATTTGAAGAGGAAGTCCTAATTTATCTGCAATTCCACCTTCTCTTTTCAGCTCCAGCAACAAAAATGTTGCTTTTGTGTAATGCAGCAATTACAACTGCAGTGCCTAGATGAGAGATGGGCAACCCATTGACCTCTAGCTACTGCTGGACTTATTCACTCGTCATGCTGCCTGGGACTGATGTGAGTCCAACAATATGCAGCAGGCCACAGGTTCCCCACCCCCGGGCTAGATCACTGGGAAGTGAGCTTAAAGTAAGGAAAGAAAAGAAAACAAAGTGGGAAAGGGTTTGGGGAGGTTCTGGGGGCAAAGGCAATACTTTTTGTTTAATCAAATTCTAGATGGATGCAGTGACTGCTGTTTTAGAAAACGACAATGCAAAGACAGTGAAATTCATTTAAAAGATAAATATAGTGACCTCTCTCGTCCTTGGGTTACGAGGTGGTTGATATCACTGCTGTGTCTACGGTCTCCTCTTGCTGCTACTTTACCTTCAACTTCAGTAAGCCAGGCCTTGAGACAGAGACAGAGAGACAGAGATCATTTGGCGCCAGTAGCAAAATAAATGCTTAAGAGACCAAACACGTATCTTAACTCTTCTCAAAACAGATTTGTATTCTAAAGCAATATTCTGGAACTGTGCGTTACCAAATTCACCACAAGCAATATGAAGGGGCCCAAAAACTGGGATACCATCTTCCTGGGCTGCACTCCTGCACAAGTCACATGACCCATACGAGTTTGTGGCTCCTCCCAAAAGGGCTTTTTGGGGCACAGCACCCAAAAAATGTGCGTTTTGCGGTGTCGTGCCCGAAAAAAGTGCAGCTGGAGATTGCGGCGGCCATTTTGGTTGCTGTCCTCTTGCAAGAAAAAAATGGGATGTCCCGTTTTGAGGGGGCAGTTGATGAGTATACACAAGTACGACATGCCAGTACTATATTAAAAATTCTTCCGTTTCTCTTAACTCACTCATCTGTTCAGGAAGTCTCCCAATCCATACCCATAAGTGCATGACTCGTCAGCTCTGATACTGAAAAAACCAAATCTGCAAAAATATTTTCAAACCAGTGCTCTTCCGGCTATTTGGTTCTGTAGAGAATAGCTACATACTTCTTGTTTCAGGGCTCGGACATCTGTAAAGGTACAGGCAAGGACTGCCATAGGATTTTTACAAATCTCTCCTTGTTAACTAAATTGGAAACATTAAAGCCAGGTGGCTTTAAAGTGGCAGTTGTTGTAGATGGGATGGAGTGCAAAAGCAACCAGGATTCCCCCCCCCCCCATATTATGAATACCCTTCCGGGATTTTTTGGAGGATGCCTTATCTAGATGCATTTGAAATCGTATACCAGCCTTTTTTTGAAATGTCTTAATAGATTTTAACCTCATTCTTGTGAATTTCCATTCGAAGGCGGTCCATGTTGCTCATAGTTTCAGCCAGCTTTGGCTGAAGACTGCTCGGATCACCCATTTGCGGGTTTTTCTCATATACATCTTTCATTTTGATGAGTGCATCTCTGTAGAGAGAAAAGTATATCAAATTAGAAAATTGTTTTCCTTGCAACAATGAAACTGAGGAGGGAGGAAGAGAAAGCCGTACAATTTCTTAACACTTAGGACACCCCCAAAACTATGGGGTTTGTTTGAGAGGACTCGTGAGCAACACTGAGAAAGTTAAAGACAAATTGATGTTTGCAGAAGTGACATCTTGATGCCTAGGAAAAGAGCAGTAAAGATAAGGTCAAGATACAATAGCAGATAAGCAAAATTACTTCTGATCTGTCTCTTTTTGTAGTTCTCTGTTAAGTTCATCAATTCGCTGCTGCAGTTTTTTCCGCCTTTGTTCCGGAGGCAGGTGGCTGAAATCTTCTTGAGCAGGGCCCTGAAACCAAGTGAAAATACAACCCTCAGAAAGTGCAGCTATTCACATTTCTGCTGGCACCTCACACATAACCAGCAGCATTTCCTCACTGGATGAAGAACTGATTTTTTAAACACCACAATGCTGCAAAGCATAGCTCCGGTGTGTGTGTGTGTGTGGAATGGACACATCAGACAGAATTGTTTTCTTGATGGTCTGTGACCCCCCCCTTTTTGCTCAATCTGAGATTTTACAGATTATAAACAGTTCTTCCATGTGTTAAATAATCTTGAAGGGAAAGCAAATCCATTTCAGAGGAGGTTATAGACTCGGGAGGGGTGTGTGTGGAAATATACTAGTGAACCAGAATGAAAAAAGGATCTTTAATTTTGGGGGAAGGGAACCCTGCAAAATATTTCAAATGCCTAAATGTGGGGAGCGTAGGCTCAATCGGTGACACTGCTGGAAAACCTCTGGTCGTTATGGAACAAGCAGTTGCAAGAATAGACAGGTTTAGGATAAATTATGGTAAAGGTAGCCATGTTTAGCCTGTAGTAACAAACATTACTGCTTCTGATAAGACACCTACCCCTCAAAATCACAAGCCACAATGAATTTGAAGTGCGGCAAGACTCTCGGTCTTGATGTGATTTTTGACAGACACATTTCCAAATTATTAAGATTTTAACAGAGCAACATTTTCATTACCAAGATCCATAGATCGCCTTGGGATTTTCTATTGTTTATGAAAAGGGCAGTCAGAACCAAACTGGGCAATTACAGGGAATCTGGGCAGTTTTTAAAAAACCAAATCATGAAGAAGTTGCATTAGGAGATGTAAAACGTGGCTGATAACAACGTAAAAAGTAACTTAAATCGGCCCAGGCTCCCCTAGAACCTCAAACCCTGATAAAGCTCACCCACATTGCTCCTCCCTACCACCGAAGACGATCCCCACAGATTATTCACCAATGTTTCCAATAGGAAGGGGGAAAATTCTGGAACATGGAAGCCCCTTTCCCGACAAGTAATGTGACTTAATTAATGTCATAAGGAGCAGCGATGCCAAAAATATCCAACATGGTATTCTCAACAGGGAGCTTACTGGGACAAAGCAACATGAAACTATTTGTGCCCGAAAGTACTAGCAGAGCACAAAATTATTGGATCTGAACATTATTAGAGCCGCCAAATTCCCAGTTCAGGAGATTTTTCTACCGATCTATATGGGCTTCTAAATGTCAAGCCAGTCTCATCCCAGAGAGAAGTCAAAATTTAATTAAGAGAACTCGTAAGGAACTTGGGGATGGAAAACGATGGGTTGGGAGGAAACAGGCTGTGAATATCCAAAGAGGTATTAAAAGCTGGCATAATAATGTTCTTCCGTCCCATCACATCCTAGCAAATAGAGGGGGAAGAAATGGAGGCAGTGAGAGATTTTACTTTCTTGGGCTCCATGATCACTGCAGATGGTGACAGAAGTCACGAAATTAAAAGACGCCTGCTTCTTGGGAGAAAAGCAATGACAAACCTAGACAGCATCTTAAAAAGCAGAGACATCACCTTGCCAACAAAGGTCCATATAGTTAAAGCTATGGTTTTCCCAGTACAGTGGTACCTCGGGTTAAGAACTTAATTTGTTCTGGAGGCCCGTTCTTAAGCTGAAACTGTTCTTAACCTGGGGTACCACTTTAGCTAATGGGGCCTCCCGCCGCCCCACTGTCGTGTGATTTCTGTTCTCATCCTGAAGCAAAGTTCTTAACCTGAGGTAATATTTCTGGGTTAGCGGAGTCTGTAACCTGAAGCGTTTGTAATGTGAGGTACCACTGTAGTGATGTATAGAAGTGAGAGCTGGACCATAAAGAAGGCTGATCGCTGAAGTATTGATGCTTTTGAATTATGGTGCTGGAGGAGACTCTTGAGAGTCCCATGGACTGCAAGAAGATCAAACCTCTCCATTCTTAAGGAAATCAGCCCTGAGTGCTCACTGGAAGGACAGATCCTGAAGCTGAAGCTGCAATACTTTGGCCACCTAATGAGAAGAGAAGGCTTGCTGGAAAAGACCCTGATGTTGGGAAAGATGGAGGGCACAAGGAGAAGGGGACGACAAAGGACGAGATGTTCTTGAAGCTACTGAGTTTGACCAAACTGCGGGAGGCAGTGGAAGACTGGAGTGCCTGGCGTGCTCTGGTCCATGGGGTCACAAAGAGTCAGACACGACTAAACAACTAAACAACAACAACAAAGTACTAGCAACAGGGATGTTATTAAGTGGCTTACATTGCATACCCGGAGGTTTAACCAAAATCTTATTAAACGGATCTGAAAACATCCCTGAACTGTGCACATTAAGTGCAGGGATGGCTGTCTCAGGGTAGTATCCCATAGATCTATTCAAATTCTGAAAATTCTTTGGGAGGAGACATCATTCCTAGAGGTGGCTTGGATTCCTTAAACCTTTTGCCACAACATACATTTTTTAAAAATGCATTTCCTTTGCACAGATGAAGTGCTGGATCCCTGCTAACTGAAAGCCATCCTGAGGCCTTCCTCCCCAGTGAGAGCAAGTTCCCTTTCACCTGAATAGCGGCTAAAAAGTTAACTGGCACCCAAGTTAAAACTTTTCAGCACTGCTTAACCCAGGGATCTGAAATGTCAGTTTAAAAATGGGCACCTGACTTTGCAATAAGGGAAATCCTGGTTAGGAGTAATGATAGTTAATCTCTTTGCCAGGGAATTGTGATGATAAGAGAGGGGAAATCGGCACCGGAGAGAGGCTGCAAGGAGGGAAGCAGGCCTTGTAGCAGAACCAAGCCTATAATACGCCATTTCTTAAGTTAGTTTTGCCAAACTGTGGTTTTAACTCATTTTCAATGGTGCTAAAATAGGCAGACATGGTGACAACAAAGTGCTCTGCAATTTAGAAACAGCAGAAGACATTATTAGGTTTCCCAGTTGCACGCAACTCTTTATCCTGTTGAGAACGCTCCACAAATCCATTCTCCAAGCTTGCTGTGGCGACAGGCCAACCTCCCAGAGGTTCTCTTCCATCACGCTGAAATCTGGAGGAGAGAGAAGCTGCTTTGCCACTTGGAGCTTACTTTGAAGGCTCTCCCCAATCATTGGCATCCCATCTCCAAGATGAGAGGCAGTGCTCAGCCATCCACTGGCAGTTTGCCATCCACAGATTTCTCTAATCCCTTTAAAGCCATCTAAGTTGGTACCCATCGCTACATCTTGTGGTAGCCATCACAGCATCTTCATACTATATCTAAGTTTATTCCCTCTATCCTCTAACCACAGGATATATCAAAAGCAGCATGAAGTCTACACGAAAGTCTGATGGATCAGAAGTTAACTTATTCCCTTTACCACTTGGTTCAGAATACAGCTAAAAATTGATATTCACTAGAAATAGGCCCATCGTGTTTGTTCGTTTTTCAGGGGGTACTCAAGGATTCGCAGTACTGGCACCTCTTTTTGTTGTTAAAAAGTGTGGAACTTACTGTAACAATTTCATGGTGCGTACCAGCACCTATTTTTCCAGAAGAAGAAGAAAGCACTGAATAGGCCAACTAAGATTTCTCTTGCTAAAATCTGCCAAATATCAATGCAGACATGCTCAGAAGCAAATGTGACGATTTACCTCCAATTTACCGAAGTCTTGTAAAGTTGCTTCCACCAAAGTCAATGCAAAAGGTTCCTACTACATCCAACATTAGTTGGTTTGGACTATAATTAACAAGTTCTGAGCTACAAACAGGGTGTTTCAATGAAAAGGCTCACAAATCCACCTACTTGAGCACATTTAATAAGTTAACTATAGCACCAACCAGTAATTACAAGCTAAACAAGAATTCAAAAGTCTGTTTGTGTTTACGGTTTGCCATCTGCTCAGAGAATCTGTTTGAAAGGGCTGTAAAACAATAAGGCCTATTAAGTTAATTTCCCTCCAAAATCTCATACTAATCTCCTTTTCAGCAGAGTTGTAAGCCTTCCTTTTAAAAGCATTGCTCTCTGTGTTGAACTTGTGCTAAACAGCTCCTACATAAATCATGATTTTAAATGCAAAACTATAAAATTATCATGCATTGTGTATTATATTAAGTTGTTCTAATTAAGAACAATGAGCTGCATTATGGATTTTAGGTTTGTGTCACTCAAGGTAGTTTATAAGAGATAACTTTTGCTCTCACATAATTGTCTTTTATTTTTAAGCATAATAAAGGCCTCACTCAATATACACAAAGGAGAAACTATGGAAACAATCTCGCAAAAAAATAGGCATTTCTAATTTCCATGAGAATCAATGGAACTTAACCCCTTAACTGTTCATTTCCATTGTACTTTTGCCATAATTCTACCTTCAAACCTTATTTGAAATAAAATGGAACTGTCTGCAATAAAGGAGCAAAATTTGCCACCGGCTTCCTGCCACAGAAATTATTTTGTGTTGAACACAATTAAAATATGAATCTATATGTAAATATTAAGTACTGGGATAAATATAGGCATCTTATTTATGTTTCATGCCTGATTTACCAAAGGAAACAGAATAATATCTCGAATCCTCCTCTCCCGATTCTGTCTTCCACACCTACTGTGAACACTTAACTAAGTTGTAGAATTTAGTTATATAAAATTGCTGATTTTACAAATAAGGATAAAGAAGTTATGTAACAGTATGATCAATGAACAATGCCATACACATCAGAGAAACTAGGAAAGCTTTGAGGCATGTTTCTCCTGTGATCAATACAACTTAAGCTCAGAAGAAAAGTTTGACATTTTACACTAATCAGAATAATTTTAATCTATTTATTACTTTATTTTCATTTATTGTTAAATAACGCTGATTGCTGTAAACAGCCAGGCGACTTCATTTTAAACAAACCACCATCACTGGCTAAAAGTTTTCAACAGCAGTTTTGACCAAGTCCTAATAATAGTGAGTGATATCTGGCTAAGCCACAATAGAGTATGGCTGTTGAAATCCACGGATTTAAGTTAAGTCAGTGGGTCTACTCAGAAAATGACTGCCTAGTACATTCATTTGTTATTACCTGGCCATGAAAATCCATCTACTTTGAATGTGTAAGAGAATGTGTTAAGTTGGGGGTGGGGGGGGGTTATGTTCAGCTGTCTTCAACAAAGACTTTCAGAAACTGTATTGCGATAACTACCATGGTTATCAGTTCTGGACTAAATGAAATGTTTTTAAAATATAAGACTCAGATAGTATAGCTCAAGGCATGCACAGGACTGACTCCCTTGTAGGCCTCGTTCACAAGCACCTTGTAGGAAAATGAAGCTCTGGATTGAGTAGGTATCGCTCTCATTTTATGGAGGCAAAACAGGAGTACATCCTTGGTTGAATTCCTTTCCTCTGTGCAATGTCAGGAGTCTATTTTGTTCACACCAAGCACAAATGGATAATGAGACAAAGAGTGACTAAGAATACGCATCTGAATACCAATTCACTCAAAGCAACTATGAGATGGACACGATTTCAATAAGCTACTTTCATGCTGTTGTTACGAAGTTTACAGCACACAGGCCTTACCGTCTTCACAGACCACTGACCGGTACAGTTGGAAACAGAAAGAAACAGGGTATTATTTTCATGCTACCAAGCATTATTTAGGAAGATATATCTTTGTCTTTTATAGCCCAATCCTTTGCATATTTATTTGGGAATAATCCCCAGTGGGGCTTGATGCCAAGTAAGATTTTGTGTGTGATATTTTAACCTTAATTAATAGAACCCCATAAGGTTTCCAACATTTTAACTTTTGTCTAAGGCACTGCAGAATGGAAAGGCAGCCACAATTCAAGCCATGGGATGACGGCCTATGGCTTGAAAAGGTGCAATACAGTATAATCTTGTTGAACTATTATCTCTTTAACGTATTTCTACATTGAAGGAAACGACAACAAAGCACACAGGAACACTACACAAAGCAGAAGCGTTTGACAATGGCAATGACCTGGTTTACTGTAAACAGAGTCTTGTTTAGCGAAGCTCCGGGAGCAAAACGGCAATGTTTTTATGACTTTCTGAAACCCGGTCAGCTTTGCATTTTCCTAGTTTCCACAGTTAGGTTTCATCTTTTTGGGCACGTAGCTGGCTGGTCAACACAACATCACTAAGGTGGATATGGCTGATGTAAAGAAATGTCGTGGCCAAAGAAATCCATACTCTTAGGCAATCAGAGGACTTCCATCATCCTTGCTCAAAAACAGATTCAAGGCTCAAATTAATAGTTAGAGGAAAAAACACTTTTGCAACTAAATAACTGGAAGACTATTTCCCAAAAGCCCATGTGAAAAATCTTCAACACTTTCTAATCAAAGTGATTCTAGATCAAAATATTTATTACTGGAGGCTATTATAGAGTAATACAGTGGTACCTCGGGTTAAGTACTTAATTCGTTCCGGAGGTCCGTAGTTAACCTGAAACTGTTCTTAACCTGAAGCACCAATTTAGCTAATGGGTCCTCCTGCTGCCGCCGCACCGTCGGAGCCCGATTTCTGTTCTCATCCTGAAGCAAAGTTCTTAATCTGAAGCACTATTTCTGGGTTAGCGGAGTGTGTAACCTGAAGCGTATGTAACCCGAGGTACCACTGTAGTCTATAATTCTACATATGACTGTGTATACTTTATTATATACTCAAGCGTTACAAAACATATCATTTCTAAATCACCAATAAAAATGGGGAAAGGGTAAAAAGACATACACAGATTGATTCTGGGGCATGATATCTTTTTTAAAAAAGACACAGATGGCTTCTTATCTTATTCTGGCACTATCCAATTTTGCTGAAAAGCACTGGGAAAAGCCTTCCTATTAAGGTTCTTAATTAGCAACCTTGTATTATGATGTGATAACAGAAAATGCCAATGATTTGTTTTATAAATGACTCCATTTAAGGATGCTTGAAATATGGGTGAGAACAAGGAACTGTGAAACAATCAATTGTGAAAACTGCTTTGGACCATACGGAGTGATGAAAAGCCAAGGGTCAAAATTCTGTGCAAAATGTTCTATCTATCCAAGCAGCATTTGGAGGTTCCCCCCCCCAAACAGCACCCTTTTGTGCCGCAATGAAAGAAAGCCACAACCGAGGCATAAGCCTTTGGGCACACCCAAAATATACACTGGAACCCAGTCTCAGAATTTGGAGCAACTACATGCTTGTGACTAAGAGGGTGTACCACATAATATGACCATATGGCAGAGCTGTAGACCAACTGCACTAAACATTGTAGAGCAATCTTTGCCAATCTAGTGCCTCCCAGATGTCTCATAACTATAATCAGCCCCAGACAGCATGGCCTTAGTGGCTGGTGCTGATGAGAACTGCACTCCAAAACATCTGGAGGGTATCAGTTTTGCAAATGCTGCTGTAGGTGACACACCGATAGAAATCTTTAGACTTGGGATCCCAGGACTCAGTAGAAAACATGGCTGGGATTGCTCTCTATCCTAGCAATTATCCTTGGAAGTTACTGCTTGGCAAAACCAGATGAAATGTTAAGTCACTGTGATTAGGAAAGTTCATGGATCACACCATGATTACAATTGAGTCTTGTGGTATAGGTTGGCTGTGTGGTATACAGGATTGCTCATTTAAAAAGTCATCATGACTGCACACTTAAACTGGTTTTCTAAATCTGGTGATTATCTTATGAGGATGAGGGAAGAAAAGGAGTAGCTTTGTGCATAGAAACGTGTGATCTGCCCAATTTCTAGTTTTTTCCCCCTCCCCCAAAGGGTAGAAAGATAACAGAAATCAAGCACACTATTTGTTCATTTGGCTACAACTTGGGTCAATTATGAGACCCTGTGTGTGTGTGTGTGTGTGTGTGTGAGAGAGAGAGAGAGAGAGAGAGAGAGGGAAGGAAGGAGGGAGAGAGAGAATTATTAAGTTCCAAACAAAAGTAGCTCACAACTGGGGCCAATATCCAAACCAACACTTGCAGTATTTTTTTGTCTCACTGGCAAACTGAAGCACTAAAAGTTCCCATGTGTAAACATTTGGAAATTTTCCTTTAAAAAAAGAAGTAATAAACAAACAATAAAAATATTTATCCATCATATCTAGCTTTGTGTGTCATGTCGTGATTTCTACCAAATGACATCTGATACATTTCCCTCTGCTCTTTTGTATTAAATAAAAAACAAGGCCTACAGCTGTATTTATTATTACATTTGGGTGGACAATGTCAACAATTCAGACTTAAATGCCCATGAAGATTTCATTAGTTTTCATTTCTTTTCTGTATGCCCAGCTGCTGCTGGATGGGACTCCTGATGGATGAAGCAGAGAGCAGTTTAAGAGTTTATGATGTTCCAGTGTCTAGAGTAATATTTTATGCAGGCAGAAGAAGTTGAAATACTTTGCTTCTCAGGTTATCCATAAACCATCTCACTTGCGACTTCTACTAATATTTTCCTTTTTCCTTTTAAAAGCCTTTTAAAAAGCCTGTTAAAACACCAATGTACTAGAAAGTGGGAGGCTTTGCTGTCTGGTCTCTGACCGTAATAAAGATTGATTGATTGATTTGATTGATTGATTGAGAGGCTTAGCCCCTACCAGCAAAACTATGGATTGGATCCTAAGATAACTTAAGAAAGGTCCTGGAAAGAAAGTATCCCGCCCTCTTCTTCCTCCTGCAGTAAGGTCTCACTGGAAGTTTGGAAGACCATCTTAAATATCGTAGGCAAGGCATGGAGTTGGGGGGCGAGGAAGAAGTGACAGGAAATCAAGACCAAATTGCAGCAATTATCCTCCCCACTTCCCCTTGTAGAAGCCTGATGCCTGATCCCCTAAGAGAGGCTTTTTGGAGGGCACATATGATAGCGAGAGCAGGGAATGAACAGAAGCTTTCCATCCATTATATCATGAATAGTAAATTACACCAAGAGAAATAGTTGGAACACTGTACACATCTTGCATGATACTAACATCTTCTGGGCTTTAACATGCAGAGCCTATTTACGCTCTTCTATATCAAGGAACCTCTTTTATACCTGCTCAGATATTACAAGTCACCGGAAGGTAGCAGAGCTCCAGCCCTCACAAACTGGTGCTCTTCGTGTGAGGTGGGGCCATTGGTTCAAGACAATAGCCCGATGACTGGCTTCTGATGTTAAATGGAGTACTAATGGGCAAGTACAACAATTCAACAGGTGCCAAGGAGAAATATAGGGACATTATATCAATATTAATCTTAGTGGCTTCTAAACGCCTTTCTACAAGGGAAGGACCATAGCTTGGCAGTAGAGCATCTGCTTCGCACACAGAGGGCCCAGGTTCAATCCCAGGTGTCTCCAGGTAAGGCCAGAAATTGTTTTCTGCCTGAAACCTTGGCGAGCAACTGTCCAATCAGTGTCAATGATACTGAGCTGGGTGGACTAATTGGTCTGACTAGGGCTCAGGGGTGCCAACTGGAATATAATATTGGGGCGGGGGCAGGTAAGCTTACATGAAGAACTAATCTAATCCCATTTTAATTATCGCCAAACAGCAGGCTTGCTTACGGGAATTTTAAAGACTACTGAGCATGACGTAGCAGGCACCTATCGAGAATAGAAACAATCCCCTGAAATGCAGGACTCTCATCTGTGATAGATGGCTACTGAACCTCTGCTTAAAAACCTCCAAGGAAGGAGTCCACCACCTTCTGATGGAGTCCATTCGACTGTCAAGCAGCTCTCATTGTCAGAAGGTCCTTCCTAAAGTTTAGTTGGAATCTCCTTTCTTTTAATTCGAATCCATTGGAGCTATAGAAAAAAAGTTCTTAGCTAGGATAGAAGGATAGAACCCTTGGGTTTTCTATATGTGCTCAGTCACACCCCTAAATTCCAGGGATTTTGCAAGAGGGTAACTAAATTACAAATGGTCTCCAGGTCTACTTGTTTTTCCCTATAAGATTTTCCAGCCAATAGCATTCACACCAAAATCTCTATTTGCAGATTCTGGTACGGAACTAGTGAGAGATAAATAATACATGTGCACTTCACAAGGCACCTCTGGCCTGAACTTGTTTCTTTAAAACAAAGGAAAAAAAGATTTGGTTGCATATTTCAAGGGATGCAACATGGCAGGCTAGTAACTGCTGATAGTAATTTGATCAAATTTACAGCGCGATGAGAAAATGTTGAAATAAAATTTAATTTCAATCCCATCACCTTTTAATTTTCCATGACTATGCTAAAAAGAATTGGTAGCCACTTCCTCGTCTATAATGAAGAAATAGTAACACATTATTGCAAACATATCCAGCAGGATCGATCGATAGGAGAAAGGAAGAACAAGTGCAACAGGAGCATTTTCAGCCAACTTCCAAAGCAGCTCATTGAGGATCAGATTCTGCTACTGTGCTAACAAGTTATTATGCTAAGAATGGCCCTGATCATGAACACATGTTCTGTGTCCTGAGCATGGCTTGGCCTGTGCACATTTCCATGTCTATGGATGTGCAATTTGAGCATAAGATCTAATATTAGTGCAGAATCTGACTAAATATCCAGTTCCATGGATCTGGAGGACACCCTGAAAACATATTAACTCCAGCTGTCTCCACTTCTTCCTTACCAACAAAAATAACCCTTGCCAAAATTACTTTCTCCCTTACCAAAAACCTATCCAAAACTCTGAATTTTGAGCACATAACAAGGTATGGAAATGTAATTAAATATAAGCAAACTCTCAATTTTTGCAATAATAATAATAATAATAATTTTATTATTTATACCCCATCCATCTTGGCTGGGTTTCCCCAGCCACTCTGGTCGGCTTGCAGAATATATAAAACATCATAAAGCATCAAACATTTAAAACTTCCTGATACAGGGAATATATTGCAAATGCAGAATTAAGAATTCTGAGATGTAGAGCTAAAATCTTTAGGAGCACAGATCAAACTGCTTAAAAGAGAAGTTACCATGCTGTGGTGCACCAACTTAAAATCCACAAGTTAAGGACCTGCCTTCCCATAACAGCGAGAACTCCTCTAATCATTAACCGGCATTGCTTAGGATATCTATGGACTATGATCTGCTTCTCTAGAACAACATGCCCCAGCTTAGACTGGTATAAAGTATTAAACTGCAATCAATTGCTGTTTCGCCCCCCCCCCCAATTATAATTTTTATTTGCATATTTGTATATTGGCAAATGCATTCAGCTTCTGGTTATCAACAACCAAAAAAAATTCAGTTTCTCATATACAAAAGACTGTATTTTATAGACCTAAGGAGTTACTGCTGGTTCATTTATCATGACATAATCATCAACACTGCTTGGCAGTCACTTGATCCCTAGAACAAATGCTACTTTGCAGAATATGCCAGTATAAATTAGTTAAGTATACTTCCTTGATTCTTCTCAAAAAGTGGCATTTAGCAGTTACCCAGGAATGGAATGCAGTTTAACCAAAAACAAAACCAATGAAAACCACCCAAAGCCCCCAAGAAAACAAATCTAAATTAAATGTTTTGAGGCAAAGTACATTGCATGAAAAATCATACTACATTGAAATAAATTAAAAAAAAATAATTTAGGTATATGTACTTTTATCAGTTAAACTGGCTTACTTTTCTGAAATACTTTCCCCAATAAACTGTGTTTTAATGTCGGCCGATGCAATCTGTCATCTACGAGACAAAACGGCCTGCAGAGACTCGGAGAAGATGCCTTAACATGCTGGTTAAATTAACAATTTAATTTACTAAGCCATTTACTAACATCCTTTTTTTAAAAAAAAAAAACCCATGTGCTCTGATAATGGGGCATTGTCAGTGGGTGTATGTGCAGAATGTTGACTAGGACAGAACTGAACTCAAATGCCCACTAGGGGGCCAGTTCATAAAAGAGAAGGAAAAATAACCCTGTGGTTCTGCCTTGCGCCTGAGCTCTGCTGCACACAGTACAAGAAATAACAAATATTATAGAAATTTCAAAAGGTCCGAGCTACCTTTTAGTGGATTTAGCAGTTAAATGGCTGTGGCATTTAGGAACAGGATGAAACTTTTCAAAGTCCATCCGGCCCCTGGCCCCTTACTGGTTTTGCTAAGAGAGGAATAAAGCTGTTACATTTGTGGTCTATAAATGCTTTTCGTTATTTATTTAATTTTTATTATTATTTCTGGTTTAAAAAAAGATTAAAACTTGCACCGATATATTTGCTAGGTAGTGTTAATTATCGCTGTCATTATGAAACTGTGACTGCAAATGCCGATTTTGTGATACGCTGTTGCTCTTCATCCAATTGTAAGCTGCTCTTATAGTGTGTGCTTTTTTCTGGAATTGGCAGCTTGCAAATAAATTGACAATGTGTTGATGAAATCCACGTACCGAGGTTAGAAGGCAGCCCTATATCGGGAGGTTTTTAACGCTTGATGTTTTGAGATAAGCTGTAAGCTGCCTACAGTGGCTGGGGAAACCCTGACAGATGGGAGGGGTGTAAATAATAAAATTATTACTATTATCATTAGAAAAAAAGAGCAAAGTAATTATTGTTCTGTTCTTTAAAATGGCCTGGCTTCTCCTTCCCCCAAACATATTATGCATTAAGAACACTCATGGCTGCGAATGAGAAAATTGTGAGAACGCGCACCCAGCGCCCTTTGAAGAGCCAGCTATTCTGAACAAGGAGCTGCAAAGCACAATGACCTCTGATAGGATCTTCAGCCTTATGATGAGGGTGGAGAAGACTGGGAAAAGCCACACACCACAAGCACACTGCTCATAGCACTGTCATGCACCTAAAACCCGTCATAAAACTTACCCCTCTTTTGAGGCTTCTGAAAGAAGAAATTCTGGGCTTCCCTGTTTTTATCTCACTCATGCAATAATGGACTTGTTCAATCGAGCATAAGGGATACTGGGAACCATTAGAAGTACTGGACGTGTATAAACTAGTAGGGGTGAGGGGAGGGGACTGCGGCTGATGCGGAAATAAAGAAAGGAACAGATAAGGCAAACATTGAACTGAAAATTCTGTCTCCCCCCCCCCTTTCAATACAGAAGCAGACCATCGGTTCCAGCCCCCACCCCATAACAACCACCACCAGATATTATAATCAGAAAGCTGACAGCACAACCAATGTGTTGGGTCTTTAAGGTGTCACAAGGCTCTCTGCTATTTTCACCATCAGAAATATACAACACAGTAAGAAATTTAAAAAGAAAGAGAGGGTGACTATTTAGTTACGATGTTAAAATGGTTTAAAATGTCCTTTTACATGCGAGTTTCGAAACAACACCAAGAACCACCCTTCAGATAACACACATTGCTGAAAGATAACAGGCTTTAGATTTGTTTGTTTTACATCTAGGAACTTTTTGAAAGAATAAAAAACCACCCCAGTAAAATTTTATTCTAAGTGTTCTAATGTTAAAATTCTTATATCCTCAAATCATATGGGCAGAAAGGAAGACTTAAGGAATGGCATTCATAAGGTAATGGAGCTGGAAAAGGAAGGTTATTCCATTCTTAGGTGTTCTACACAATTTTTTCACGCACTGCATGAAATTTTAATTAGTGTTGTTTTTTTAAAAAAAGAATATTGCTTATGTTATTTGTTGCTCTCTATACTAAGAACTTCTGTAAAGGTAAGGTGCAATTTGCCTTCACATCATTATTCTTTCATTATGTCCAAAGCAATATATCACCTGCTTTGCTTTAACCTTCAGGTGCCTTTGAATATCTTTAAACTGACCTGCCAAAACCATGCACTTCAAACGGAAACATCAGTTTCTAAAATTGCAAATTACAGGCAGGATGCAAGTTCCTCCAGTGCCTAAAACAATTAAATGGACCACAGCCAGAAGGCGGCTGAATCTCTGATATTAAATAAATGATCCACACACCCATCACGATCAACTGATCTGATCTCCCTCCAGTTTCAACGCAATAGCAAAACCCCAACATACACAGAGGATACACAAGCCACAGAGGATGCTATTATTGGTCAAAATACTTGCAGCAGACTCCTTTGCAAGACCTGCGCTTGAGTATTGGTGTAACATGTTACCAGGAGTTTGCAGTTCCTGGTCACTAACTACTGTTGTAATAGCTCCAGCAAAGCCAGCAACTACGTAATTGTGCGGCATTTTGCTACCCCAGTTGTACTGGTTTCCTCTGCTGCTGGAATACTATAGCTGGGGTGGAGCAAAGCAGACATATCATACCAAAACCAAGTTCCTAAATGGACAGTTGGGGCAATGCAAACTGTCTTTCAAAATTATATAAGGTCAAAACGACATTATTTTGATCCAAAGGACTACATTTGATCCCTTAACCACAAATCCTGAGTGTGTTCTCATGTGAAATATATTTCAAAAGTTGTACCTTTGGTTTCTTTCCAAAAAGCCACAGCTTGCCCTTAGCCTTGCCCACGGTGGTTTTTGCATCGATTTTCACCCCTTCCTGCTTTGGTGTACTGATTGTTCCGTCAGAAACAGTCCTGTAAATGTGCTGACTGTAATCTTCAAATGGAAAGTCTCCAGGAGGTTCAAAACCAGACTTGAAGGAGTCTATTACTATTTGAGAGTCCTTGATGGGAGAGAGGCAATGTTTATAAAAAAAAATGATTACTCAAGAGAGCTGATGGCTTAACTGAAATGATATTATTACCAATGCAGCAGATGAAAAATGAGTAACTTAAAACAGCAGGAGAAATTACTGATCTTCCAGAAAGAATTAAGTTCGTTTACAGAGGGGAAATTGCAGACTACCATCTACAGGGCACTTAGAAAAGATAATGTTGCAGAGAGAGCAAACAATGCTTGTGCCCTGAGCATCCCGCTCCTCCACATCCCATCACATCTGAAATGAAACTTTTGTATATACAGTGGTACCTCTGGTTACGAACTTAATTCATTCTGGAGGTCCATTCTTAACGTGAGGTACCACTTTAGCTAACGGGGCCTCCTGCTGCTGCCACGCTGCCAGCGTGTGATTTCTGTTCTCATCCTGAGGTAAAGTTCTTAACCCGAGGTATTACTTCCCAGGTTAGCGGAGTCTGTAACCTGAAGTGTTTGTAACCTGAGGTGTTTGAAACCCGAGGTACCACTGTACCTCCATCCAGGAAATTCATAAGCTGCCAAGGTGAAGTCCCAAACCCTGGGATTACTAAGACCGCTGAAGAAATTTCATCTCAAGATTAGCAACACGGTCTGCAAGAACAGACTCGTATAATCTACAGTAATCTATAATCTATAATCAATAAAGTAATCTATTATTCGGGCATCATAAATTAATAAGAGGAAGAGGGAGAGAGGTTAAAGAGAGAATGGGTAAAAAAAAAAAAGAAGTCTGAATAAAACAGACTCCTTTCCACAATTACTTGCACTAGGTCTCATGACCCAACAAAGCTGTCTGCCAGAGAGTTATGGCACGCAAGAGACTTGATAAACCCTCTGTTTTTGTTGCTTGGTTTGGCTTCATGGAACACAAGTTTCATAGGCTTGATCAGCCTAATTCCTTGCCTGGTCATGGTAGGACATGATCAGACCCACAATTAGTTAGATTTACCTCCAAAGCAATGAGTTCTACACTGATAATCTGAATCCTACAAAATAAAGTCAACTTACCCTGCGTTCATCAACCGATTTTGCCGCAGCAGTCATTCCTTCTAAACATTTCGAGACTATTGGGATAACTCTGCGCTCAGAATCTGCAAACCCCTTATAACATTCGCTAAGTTTGATGGTTCTTCGTTCATCCATTTCCTGAAGATGCTACAATTATAAAGAAAAAGCCTGAGTATTCTTATGACAATACAGTACTATACAGATACTCGTATATTTGGGCTACATTTCCTCCCAATTTTGTTTAAAGCATCACCAATTTGCTGAGTTTGCTTTCCTGTACCAGATCATTTAATAAAGAACCTTTACCTGGGCTTGGTGTGACATAGGAGTGTACCAAAGTTCATTTTAACTGAACCCATGGTTCGGTTAACCTAACCACGGTTTCCTGTTAGGAAAATAAGAGCAGGGCTCCCTTCCCTCTTTAGCATCTGCAGGGCAATGAAAAGCTCCCACTTTCAGTTTCATAGTGAGTTAGTAATAGATTCATTCATTTACTTATTTCTTTTTATGCTTGAGAAAAACTATTGTTTATAAATGTTTTATGTTGTTTTAACTACCTGTCATCTATAGAAGATTCATTTTACATCATAAATAAAAGGCTCGTTTTTACACGTACGGAATGCAGACTTTACTGCTGCAGCTTCTATATTATCTTGTAACAAATATTTTGTTGAAAATTTGCTCATGTTTATGAAGCAAACATGATTCTCCTTCAGAGTATTTCCTTGTAAATGTTACGATAGCCTTCCAGTGGAATTTTGTTCATTTGCAATGGCTTGTCGGTATTGTATTAAACAAGAAGCTGTTTAAAGAAGGAAAAACCCAAAATAACTAGGGGATGTGGTTAAGAACCTCAGAAAGAAACCAGAGGATTCAATCCTATGCACACTTTCCCCTGACAACTACCTCATCTGCTCCATTGCAAAAACCAGACTGAGGGAATGACTTATATGTGTTGGCCCCACAATATATTAAGACAGCTCCATGTTTTCATGGTGACCATGAAGTGCTGAGCTAGAGCAGTTGAGGCGGACCAGGTATGGTCCCTGAAGTCTTGCAAGACCACCACCAGCAGTTCTCCAACTCCAACAATTCTGTCTCTCTGGCCCAACACGAGGAGTTGTAGCTCACATCTGGCTGCCAGACAAATAGGTTTCTTGGCAAGGAATATGGTTCTCTAACCTGGCATTCAACAACAGAACCACCAGGTGTGGGAGCACATTGACATAACTACTCAGGGTTGTTTTTTTGGGGGGGGGCTCAGAAGAGGTGACTTCTTTCAGCCACTTGATGCCCCATCTGATACAATGTACACCCTTGTGCAAATTAACTGAAACAAACCATGTTTTCTATCTTACTTGTAATCCTGTACTCAAAGCAAACACGAAAAATCAGTTGATCATTATGGTGTTGGAAGCCTGCAGCCAATAGAAGGAATGATGCGCTCGCCACAATATATTGAGGTTCTACGAAAGAGTTATTCCAGAGCTGGAAAAGAGGTATCCTGACCATACTGGGATATTGCAACAGGACCTAGCCCCCTGTCACACATTGAAAGTGGTGAAGAAATTCATGACAGAGCAGCAAATACAGGTATTTGATTGGCCAGGGAATTCCGTGGATGTAAATCCCATTGAGAATTTTGTGGGCTATATGCAAAGGTCGCCTCCGTGCTGCAGACTGTATGACTATGGAGAAGCTCATTAAGGCTCTGATTCAAGTGTGGTACAGAGATCTGAAAATCAACAGTGACTGTTCGAAACTAGTAGACTCCATGCCAATCCATGTTCAAATGCTGCTTAAAAATAGTGGAGGTCATATCCGTTACTAATGTATGTATATGTGAGTTTTGTACAGGTATATGTGAGTTTTGTACACTAAACTGCATTGTTTGTTTCAATTAATTTGCACAAGGGTGTAGGTGCCCCTCAGCAAACATGATACTTCCCTTGCTAATAACCCAATGCTAAAGAAAACATCTGGAGGATCTGTGTGAACTTAATTACATAATGCTAATGAAACAGATATGAAGATGTGGAAAAAACCCTGAAACTGTCTTTATTGGGGAGAACCAACACAATAAAAGTCCGTGCACTGCCAAAATTTCCTTCTCCAAAATCTCAGGCCAAATTATTCAAGAATGGCAGAAACAATGTATTTATATGGAATGTTAAAAAGAGCTAAGGAACCTAAAAATGTAAGCTGTAAGGCATAGAAAGAGGGGGATTTAATAGAGCTATTGTAGCGCTGGAGTCCTTTTGTTTAGGAACAAAAACTCTTATTATATAGACCAATGGAAGAAACAGCAATGAATACCACAGTAAAGAATTTATTATAAATGGAAGTACTAGGAAAAACTGTTGTAACAGATACAATTATGTTATTGGCACATGTTTAAAAACCTGGGATAGATTTAAAAAGAAGAGCTAGCATCAGAAATTTCCCCTTTAGCATAATATTGGTGAAGGAATGTTTAATATGGGACAACTAGGGAAGTTCAGTGTTTGGGTAACTGGCATATATCAGGCTGGGTGCAAATTAATACAAACAGTTTTTCTATTAGTTCATCAAATGAGAACACCCTTGAACAGATTGCAACGTAAGCGAAGGATAAACAGAGGGAAACTGAGTTAAAAAATTAATATAAGGAATGAGAAACTTTGGTTTGCAAAAAGGTAGCTGTGAAGGCTTTTTTGCTTTTAAAAGCAACACAAGTTCCACAAAACATACACACACATTTTAAAAAAACAATGATACATGCTTAGAGATGTATGGGCCAGATGATGTATGTGTTGTTTTTTGTTTGCTTACTTTTTTGGGGTAACATTCTCCATAGCTGCAATCTATGCCACTATTATTATTATTTATTCAACTTATACACCACCGTATGGATGTAAGAGCTGGACCATAAAGAAGGCTGATCGCCGAAGAATTGATGCTTTTGAATTATGGTGCTGGAGGAGACTCTTGAGAGTCCCATGGACTGCAAGAAGATCAAACCTATCCATTCTTAAGGAAATCAGCCCTGAGTGCTCACTGGAAGGACAGATCCTGAAGCTGAGTCTTCAATACTTTGGCCACCTCATGAGAAGAGAAGACTCCCTGGAAAAGACCCTGATGTTGGGAAAGATGGAGGGCACAAGGAGAAGGGGACGACAGAGGACGAGATGGTTGGACAGTGTTCTCGAAGCTACCAGCATGAGTTTGACCAAACTGCGGGAGGCAGTGGAAGATAGCAGTGCCTGGCGTGCTCTGGTCCATGGGGTCACGAAGAGTCGGACACAACTAAATGACTAAACAACAACATACCCAGAGGTTTCAGGGCAGTTCACAACAAGACCACAACATATAAAATCAAACCAAAAGCAATAACCCAATAACCACGCGGGGATTCGAACCGCTGACCATGCGATCGGCAAGTCCTAGGCGCTGAGGTTTTACCCACAGCGCCACCCGCGTCCCGTTGGATGTCAATAAGATCAACCAAAGGCCGGGTTAAAAAGGAACGTTTTGCCTGGCGCCTAAAGGTGTATAATGATAATATGGCCACAGTCAGCACAGAAGTTCAAAATGATGAAGAAAACCAGAGAAAGTAATTGCTAGTTTTGTGTAGAAAGAAAAGCTGATATTCATCATTTGCAGTGGAAGTACCAGAAGGTGAGTGATTTGGGGATTATAGTAACTTAATAAAGGATTTCTTTTCTTTTTTTCTTTCCCCTCACCATCTCAACCCTTATCTGCATGGTTGCTTTGTTCCACAAATATATCAAACAAAAGTACTACATATTTTAGCAATGACAAGAATTTTAAGTGCCAAGGAAATTAGAACCAGGGAGTTGTGGGAGCAACTGAATACTGCAAAGTTAAAAATAAGTGTACAGGAGCAGCAAACGAATGGAAATCAATAATCTACTTCATTTAAAAACAACAGGGAATGTCAGGAAGCAAGACAAATGATATGCTACTGTAGATAGCTTTTCAAATATTGTATAATCATAGTTTAATGTAAATTAACAGTGGATTAAAGCAGAACTATGCAAGGTGTTGATAAAACATTTATAATTTTTATGTTTACAGCAGTGTTCTCAAACCATCTCAAATCTAAGCATGGGTCCAAAAGGTTTTCCTGCCACTTTCCCCAGGAAAAGTGGCTGTTTAGCACTGAATGGGAACAAACGTCAATTGAGTTTTCTTCAGATGTTTGTTTTGATTCAGCACTAAACAGTGGGTTTTCCTGGGGAAAGCGAAGGAACAAAAGGAAAACATTTCTGACGTGTGCCTAGCAATCATGTGATGAGCAGCAGTGTGGACAGTGTGGATGAGCTTAGAAGTCACTGCCACACTTTTAGCAGTTTAAATAATGTTTTTCCCCCAATATTGAAAATTGTAAAGTACTTTGGGCACCCAGTAGAATGCAATAAATAAAGATTGAAACAAAATTTAGATCTAAAACTCACCTTATAGATTTGAGGAATGACAATGTAGAAATGCTTGTGCTGTTCACCATTGAAATTTTGCAGCTGGGCAGCATATTCATTTTTGTTCTCATCAGCCATGTGTGTACGGAGATTTAATTGCTGCTTTGCCTAATAAGAGACAGTTCAATGACAGCGTTTTCTAGAAGTCTTCTGTTTAAACAAAATCTTACTTAGCAACATGGTCATTGTAAGTGAAATGCCACCACCGTTCATAAGCCCTGGAGATGCCCTTGTATCCTTTACCTTACATTAGCATTTGCGGGGTCAGTAGACAGTATTCAACTAAATAAATGCATGAACGGAATGACTTTTCCACCTTTTGTTCCCCTGTGTGTGCCCCGTGCTGTACCCAAATCTGCTTCAGTGGATTGGAGGAACCACAGGACTTTGAATACAACCTAAGGTGTATAAGCTTCTCTTTATAAACATTCATAAGCACTCCAAAACATTTGTAGTAGCTTCTTCTTATTTAGAGAAAAGCAACCTGATTTTTTAAGCTAGGCATGTACTCTCCATGCTATTCTCAAACAAAATATTTTAAAATGACCAAAAATAAGGAACTGCCATGTACACATATAGAAAGAGAGACAATATGTGACTGTCTCACCAACATTACTTGTACAATTCCATTCATTTCAACAAATATGGCACAGAACCCCATATTGTTGAAAGTTCCTATTTCAGCCACTAAAGTTTTCTTTTCACCAGTGGCAACCATGAGGACACCATCCAGAAAACTGCAACTTCCACTGGACAAAACGTCCTGGTCGATCAAGCCACAGTTCTCTGCTACTTCTGAATCGGTAAACTATGGCTTTGGCAAACCCTCCAAAACAGAACGGCAAACCAAGAGCAAACTGTGGCTTGCGATTCTGGTTTGAAGAGATTGCACAAACCGTGCTCTGGCAATTCAGATGTAACAGCAGACCGTGAATTGATCAAATGAGAAACCGTTTAATAAACTAGGATCTATGAAGGTGGTGGTGTTGGGACACGTGCACACAGAATTTGTTCCTGATCCTCCAAACCTTCGGAGAATAGCAAAACATGATGTCTGAATGCAGCCATTGATTCACTGTCCCCTTGGGTTGGCATATTAAGTTTTAAAAAACAGCATTATTTGAAAAAATGCAAATACCATTATAGGAATAAAATAAAATAATATTTACCTTTTCAACATCTGCTTTAGTGGCATTAGTATCATTGTCCAGTCTCTCAAAACATTGCTGTGCTTTTTCTGCTTCTCTGCACTCTCTCTCAAACTTCTTTTTACTCTGCAATGGTAACATCATCATGTTGTTGTTGGTTTTTTTACAAAATACTATAAAAAGACACGCTAAAGTTCACATGTGTATACCCATATGAACACTCATATACTTGCTCTCACTCAACTATTTAATATGGTGGAATCCCACTAATTTCTATTAGTATACTATGACTGACAACTTTTAAACAAAAGTGAGGTTTTGTCTTACGTAGTTCATTTTGATTTTTATGCAAAGCCAAACAAAAATGTAAACAAACACTGAAGTTATAATTCAAGCCTAATAAAAGACACTTGCAAAATCCTCACTTGTTTTTAAAAGATCCCAAAAGCAACATATATTTAGATCTGCCATTCTACTGTGCTGGGGGCTGATTTCAGCAACCATGTTAAGAATCATAGAGCTGGGAGGCATTTTCAATAAATTCTGACATAGCTGAAGTCTGTAAATCCTTCAAGGCAGAATTCCTGTTGAACTGCACACTGAATTGCGCAATAGGTTGCACACTGAGAAGTTATGAGCTGTAATGATCTCTGCAAACACAGCAATCTATCTGGTCTATTTAACAAAGATAACAATGATAACAAAGCTAATCTTCAGTTAATTTCTTTAACAATTGCCCACCAAACTTTGTAATCCTAAAAGTAAACAGGAAAAGATAGGGGGGAGAAGAGAGAAGAAAACTTACATTATCCATCTGCTTCCAACACATGTCAAGATACTGCTGAGCTTTTCGACCCTCTTGAAGGTGCTGCGAAATTACGAAGGAGAGGGTTTTAATTTCTTTTTCTTTCAAAATCTGATACGGCATTTACAGTCTTTTACTTGCGTGTACTAAAGAAACCCAAACAACAACAGTGGCCTAGTTTGCACCTCAAAGTAAACCTACTTGGGTCTGTTTATTTCCTCCTCGCTACTGCATGGAGGAAACAAAGCTGTTCCTGCAAACCACAATGCACATTGCTTCCTCCAAAAGAAAAATGTTCCACACTTTCCACTGCTCTCCAATCTACTGAAATACAGCAGAAGGAACTGGATTTCCACCCGTTATGTTAAAGTGAAACAATTGGACAAACATCAGTTCTACTTGAAAATATTACCCTATTTCTATGGCGACATTATAAATGTGCACAAGGAAACTGCACCATGAGTGCAGTCGGGGCTTTGTCTTTTAGTTTTTGATACTGCATCTCCCGTGCCTGATGGAGTCAAGCTATTAAAACTCAACAGCACCTTTATAACAGTATCATTAGTTAGTGTTTTATTGTAAAAGCACCTAAAAGGTTCTAAGCACCAGACAGCAACATTCAAATCTACAAGGGCCTAGGCTCATGACTTTATAAACTGAATAAAAATAACTTGGCATACAGTGGCAAAGAATGCACGTGCGGCTCCCTTAAATGCATGGCTCTGGGCTGTGACACACGTTTTAATTCTCAGACCAATGTGCGAGAATTAAAAGATACAGTCGTACCTTGGTTCTCAAACGGAATCCGTTCTGGAAGTCCGTTCAACTTCCAGAAAGGTTCAAAAACCAAGGCGCAGCTTCTGATTGGCTGCAGGAGCTTCCTACACTCAATCAGAAGCCGCGGAAGCTGCGTTGGATGTTCGGCTTCCAAAAAAGGTTTGCAAACCAGAATACTCACTGGTTTGCGGCGTTTGGGAGCCAAAATGTTCAAGTTGCAAGGCGTTCCAGAACCAAGGAACGACTGTACTTTAAATGCCTTTACAACAGACAACAGTTGTCCACAGAATCAAAACACAAAGTTATTTATTTCGGTCGTTTGTATTTCCGACTCTGCATAACACCTGAGGAGGCATACAATCGAAGTATAAAAAAAGGCTGCAATCCTAAAACACACCCAAGTAAGGGACAAACCGTTATTCCTGAATGTTGTGCAGTGTGACTGGCTTCTAAGCAGGCACCTGGAGGAATGGACTGCACAAACACTAACATTCTAGAATATAAGATAGCAAGCAATGCTTTATTAAATTGGGCGGCCTTTCATTCTGTTCAGAAGCATGCGTGCTTTTGTGGTACACTGTTCTCTTGTCACAGAAGTATGGAAAAAACCATGCAATTCAAATTTGTGCACCACTACTACACCGAAGAAGATTTGGTCCAACAGACGAGACCTTGATAACAGTGAAAAGAATAATCGCATAAATTCTACAATCGTGAACCCCTCGTGATTTACCATTTTCCTTTCTGTTTTGAGTTCATGGGAATATCTCATCAGTTCTCCATATACCCTATGTCCCAGTTCTTCTGCTACTACTTCTCTCTGTCCCGCGTAGTCGTTTAACTCGTTAAGGATATTATAAAAGGCTATACATGAGGTAAACCTGGCAATACACAGTGAAGAAGAAGGAGGGAAACAAATGTCATGTTTCTATTTATCCGGAAGTTACAGCTTTTGTTCCATAAATGGACCATAAAACATGTCACAGTTAGCGTGGGGTACAACCTTGATAAAACGAATTGCAGAAAGTTGCACAGTGGAGATGCCCCAAATACACTTCTCTTCACGCACATTGGTACATTGGTTGTTGTTTTTTTTTAAAAAATGAAAACAGATTTCAAAAGGTAGAAAAGAATAAAGAACACTACCTGGAAAGCCCTGCAGTATAGTGGTATCTCCTAAGATGCGAAATGGAAGAAGGACTGAGCCTAGGAATGGACTTAATTTCCTAGGCTTGGGAAGCTGAACTTGTTGCAGAGATGATTTTGCTTGATCTTGAGGGTGGAACATGCCAACCATGCCACTCTATGCACCCCGATGGATGGATCTACTGAACAAGTTTGCTACCAGCTCTGAAGACAGTTTGCCTGCTCACCTCTTTGGTTGGAGGGGAAGGGTGCCACACTATTGCTGGCACTAAAACAAAGGCGGGAGCAGGGTGGGAAGAAGGAGGAAAAAATAAGGGGAGAAAATGTGTATGGAAGGGAGAAACAAACAAACATGTCACTGTATTTTTTTATTTTTTTAAAGACCTCATAAGCCTGTGGAATGTTTGCCATCTCTTTTAAATGTTCAGGTCTTGAGCTCCATATCAGCTTCTGGAAGTCCTGTCATCTAGGTATTTTGTTTTGTTCTTTAAAAAAAAGGTTAAAATGAAGCAGAGGGGCTCAAAATGATCTTCCATGAGAAATAGTGTTTGGCTGATAAAATCTCATCAATAATTGGATTTTGGACTAGATGACCAAATTTGTTTTCTTGTAACCCAGTGAATACCGTCTTCCTTCAGTGACGGCCTTCAATTGTAAAATCAGCCTTGAACAATCTCTGACCAGGGCATCTGAAAAAAAATTGATGCTTCCTGTGCTGTCCACACTGGTAATAATGGAATAACCTAAATTTCACTCCCCCCCCCATGTTAAGGATGGCCAAGCAATCAATGTTAGTAGGTTGGTGGTGGTGAGTGTTTGCTATTTTCTCCCTTATACTATGCTGAAAGACTGTTAACTATATAAAGTACAGAATAGAGAGAAAGTTACCCCACCCAACAAGCCAAGACTGACAAGGACATACAGCTTTGCAGCGTTCCTCTATAGTAGTTTTCAATGTACAGCTTCACAAAGGAACATTTCCCAAAAATAAAACAACACTTTGTAGCACTCAACTCACCCCCTTTTAATCAGGGAGCGCTGACACTGCAAAGTGTCACCATACTTAAGTTTGGCTTTGAGCTAAAGAAAATTAATGTGCCATGGCTGGTGTCTAGAAATGCAACAAAAATAACATTGCTAAAATAATGAATTCAGGTCTAGTTGGCAAAACAGCAAAAATGAGGAGATAAAATGACTTCTGGGCTTTACCTATTTCAGAAACCGGATGGGGGATTGTGTGGTTTGGCGATTCTCCCTATGAAACACTTGGTGATATTGAACTAAGTCCTACTTAGACCAGATCCGCTGAAATTTCTCAACCTAAGTTAGCCATGTCCATTAACTTCAATGGGGCTACTCATGAAGAGTAGTAATGCGGAATACTACTGATTAACTCCATAAAGAAAACTACCGTATTTTTCGCACCATAGGACGCACTTTTCCCCCTCCAAAAATGAAGGGGAAATGTGTGTGCGTCCTATGGTGCGAATGCAGGCTTTCGCTGAAGCCTGGAGAGTGAGAGGGGTGGGTTGCCAGCATGCCGAAGCCTGCGCGCGCTGAGCTCAGCGTGTCCAGGCTTCCCGGACCTCCCCGCAAGCAGCGGGAGCGCTCCCGCTGTTTGCGCAGGGTTGCCAGCATGCCGAAGCGTGCGCGTGCTGAGCTCAGCGCGTCCAGGCTTCCCGGACCTCCCCACAAGCAGCGGGAGCGCTCCCGCTGTTTGCGCAGGGTTGCCAGCATGCCGAAGCCTGCGCGCGCTGAGCTCAGCGCGTCCAGGCTTCGCGGACCTCTCCGCAAACAGCAGGAGCGCTCCCGCTGTTTGCGCAGGGTTGCCAGCATGCCGAAGCCTGCGCGCGCTGAGCTCAGCGCGTCCAGGCTTCACGGACCTCCCCACAAGCAGCGGGAGCGCTCCCGCTGTTTGCGCAGGGTTGCCAGCATGCCGAAGCCTGCGCGCGCTGAGCTCAGCGCGTCCAGGCTTCGCGGACCTCCCCACAAGCAGCGGGAGGGCTCCCGCTGATTGCGCAGGGTTGCCAGCATGCCGAAGCCTGCGCGCGCTGAGCTCAGCGCGTCCAGGCTTCGCGGACCTCCCCGCAAACAGCAGGAGCGCTCCCGCTGTTTGCGCAGGGTTGCCAGCATGCCGAAGCCTGCGCGCACTGAGCTTAGCGCGTCCAGGCTTCCCGGACCTCCCCGCAAGCAGCGGGAGCGCTCCCGCTGTTTGCGCAGGGTTGCCAGCATGCCGAAGCCTGCGCGCGCTGAGCTCAGCGCGTCCAGGCTTCCCGGACCTCCCCGCAAGCAGCGGGAGCGCTCCCGCTGTTTGCGCAGGGTTGCCAGCATGCCGAAGCCTGCGCGCGCTGAGCTCAGCGCGTCCAGGCTTCCCGGACCTCCCCGCAAGCAGCGGGAGCCAGCGCTGGGCTCCCACGGCTTGCAGAGAGCTACCTGTTTGGGGGCTGGGGTTGGGGGAAGCTCGAGCTTCCCCAGCCCGCGCCTGGGGGGGAAATAATTTTTTTCCCTTTATTTCCCCCCCAAAAAACTGGGTGCGCCCTATGGTCCGGTGCACCCTATGGTGCGAAAAATACGGTAGATGCCAAGGGAGAAGAATTCTAGCATTCTTCCCAATGTGCCAGTTTTCTGCACATGGAATTTCTTTTGTATGGTAGAGCATTCAACCATTACTTCCTACCTAAAATATGTGGTACAGCCCAGAGTCTAATTTACTTCCTCATCTGCTGTGTGTGAGAACCAAGTCTTAGAATTCACAGCAAAGCTACATGGGTATAATGTTAGGGATTCTCAGAAGAGTTAAACACGATCTCAAAACTTAAATATTCAACATCCTTTGGAAAGCAGTGCAGAAAGTGTTAATAAAGCCTTCGCTTTCTGATTTCTGAATACAGAGACAACCCTTATATTTGGTCATTAATAACCAAACTCTAATGTAAGCTGGTATGAAATTAATGGAAGAATCCTAACTAGGTCTACTTGCAAGCAAATCCTATTGAATTAAATTGAGCTTACTACCACACAAGTGGAGGTAAAAAAACACACCAGCCTATCACAAAGGTACACAGATGTGCAAAAATATTTAGGACGGAGGCCCCCGTTCAAAGTATTTCCAGAGAATAAGAGTCATTGAACACTGTGATATTTCTTTTCCTGACAGATAATAGAAAACTAATGTTCGTTTTACCTGGGTTCTTCATCTTTGGATGAACGTTTAGGACAGTACTTCTTCACCAGATTTCTGTTAAGGGAAGAAAACATAGTGTTCTACTAAATAAGGACATTAATAAATTTCTGTTAGTATTTGTCTAAGGATCAGTCTCAAACTAGGTGAATAAGGAAACAGCCCTTTGTCCTCAGTTTACAGTTCACATATCTCCTGTGAAGATACTTCAATAAACACCTTGTGATGTAATCATTTCTGAATGCCAGCACCTCCGTCAGAATATACCTCGATTCCTCACAGCATTAAGATGTTTTACTTGACAATAAATAATTTATCAGAAACAAGGATCCAGGAGTACACACTAAAGATGTAGTTTATGATAATGAAACAGTCACAATTTATTCTTCTCAGAAACCAAAACAGAAAAGAAGCTTATTTTCCTGTTTACAATATTATAAGTTGAGGAGAATGAAGTGATTGACGAAAAGCATCAAAGTGAGGTGCATGTTTTAATATCTATCCGTTTCTGGACAAAATAAATGCACAATGCCCTTGGTACTAATAAACATGGGTGCCTGATTTCTCGCAAATGTTGCAAGCAGGAAGGAGTGAAAATTGTTCCACCGCTGAGCAACTAGGAACAATGCCAACCTATTGTTTTTATCTTATGCTTATCCAGACTAGAACGACTAAAACAAAGACAGGAGGCAAAAATTGGGGGGGGGGGGAGAGAGAGAGAGAGAGAGAGAGAGAGAGAGAGAATTGTCCTATAGACACTGCAAATTAATTTCTAATGAATAATTATAATATACTTCTTAGCAGCCTCTTTCCAGTATGGTAAAAAGATGCCTTGTTTCAGCCAGACAGAATAGGCTATTCTCCAGATGATGTTAAAGAGCAGCAGCAGTAACAGAATGCCTAGTTTAATACATTTTAAAGAGTTCAGCAGGAATTCCAAGGATTCCAGAGGCCTCAAGTTACTTCACTGCCCACAAATATTCCCACAAAGGAATAATGTATATATTTCATGTTCTTCAGCAGGAAATCTATTTTCTTTCCCCAAGCGATGCATTAAAGAAATGGAACTAAACTTCTGTACAACTTTCCCCTTGGGCTATTAGTCCCACTACGGATCCTGGTTTTATTATCAAATCTTAAAAGTCAAACTCTCTTGCTATACTCATTGGGTACATAAAAGTTATATTGCGTCTAAACACTACAACATTCACATAATCCCAGGGAAAGAAAAGTCACAGAAGTTAGCAATGAAGAAATAAAGAGGTTTTTGAGTTATTTAAAAATAGCAAGAACTGATGACAATAGGAAACTTTCCACACAAAGGGAAACTATGGAAGATGGTTTGATTTAAACATTAACATATGGTTAACACATTCAGTTTAAGAGGCCATGATAGAATGTTGATGAAAATGTATTCTGTTATACCAGAGATCTGGGTTCTCAACCCATCTCTTCAAAAAGCACTTGTGTCTACTAGTACAGTCGTACCTTGGAAGCTGAACAGAATCCGTTCTGGAAGTCTGTTCAACTTCCAAAACGTTCAGAAACCAAAGCTCCTGCAGCCAACTGGAAGCTGCAGAAGCCCTGCTAGATGTTCCGCTTCTAAAAGAACGTTTGAAAACACTCACTTCCGGGTTTGCAGCGTTCAGAAGCCAAAACGTTCGAGAGCTGTTTGAAAACCAAGGTATGACTGACTGACTGACTGACTGACTGACTGACTGACTAAATAAATAAAGCTGTTTGAAAATCAAGGTATGACTGTATATGAAATGTAAAGCTAACAGCTTTGTTTAGGTTATACTGTACTAAAGAAAGAATTGTGTGATACATCACAGCAAATAGTGATGTTTAGTTCCCTTTTTCCTTATGGCAGTAAATTGGTTTTCTTTCCAAAGGGAAAGTCAGTTGGCTATGACAAATTTAGGAAACCCTACTATTGCAGTATGGAAGGCCCACTCCAAAGCTAAAGGTAAAGGTAAAGGTACCCCTGCCCGTACGGGCCAGTCTTGACAGACTCTGGGGTTGTGCGCCCATCTCACTCAAGAGGCCGGGGGCCAGCGCTGTCCGGAGACACTTCCGGGTCACGTGATCTCTCCCTCATTACAGTCGATCAGGTATATGAAGACGAGGAGCAAAGGCAGTCCTCTGGGAATGTCCAGGCGACCTTGGAACCGACAGCTCACAGAAGAACCCCGACCAGACCTAAGAGGAGGCGTGTAGTGGTGATAGGGGATTCCCTACTGAGGGGAACAGAAGCAGTGATCTGTGGGCCTGACAAGATGTCTCGGGAAGTGTGCTGTCTCCCCGGGGCTAAGATCCAAGATGTAACTGAACGACTGCAAGGAATCATAAAACCCACTGACAAATACCCCTTCCTCTTGGTTCATGTGGGAACCAATGACACTGCAAGCAATAGCCTCCAGAAGATCAAAAGAGATTACGAGGCTCTGGGCAGGAAATTGAAGCAATTAAATGCACAAATTGTCATCTCATCTGTCCTCCCAGTTGAACGACGTGGCCCAGGGAGAGAGGGAAAAATAGTGGAAGTGAACAACTGGCTTCGCAAATGGTGCAAACAGGAACGGTTTGGATTCTTAGATCACGGAATGCAGTTTCTTGAAGATGGACTTCTGGCAAGCGATGGGCTGCACCTCACAACGGTTGGGAGGAATGTTTTTGCAAAAAATCTCAGAAACCTCATCAGGAGGGCTTTAAACTGACTAATGTGGGGGAGGGAGACAGTGCTCCTGAAGGTAGGAGTCTATCAATTGATGAAGATGATCATCCAAATGTCATAGACCGAATGGAGCAAAGAGCATGCAGACCTAGTGGTGGGAGGAGAAAATCCTTAAATAAGAGACACGGGGGGAATGATTAATGGACTTCAATGTCTGTACACTAATGCGCAAAGCATGGGAAATAAACAAGATGAGCTTGAGCTCCTGGTACAGCAAACTAAATATGACATAATAGGAATCACTGAAACCTGGTGGGATAAATCCCACGATTGGAATGTAATAATGGAGGGATACAATCTATTTCAAAGAAACAGACCAGACAAGAAAGGAGGAGGAGTGGCGTTATATGTCAGGGATGTGTATACCTGTGAAGAGATCCAAGATTTAGAACCTCAAAGCCAAAGTGAGAGCATTTGGGTGAAAATTAAGGGAGAGAAGAATAACAGTGACCTCATTGTGGGAGTTTACTATAGATCCCCAAGCCAAACGGAGGACATAGATGATGCCTTCCTGGAACAGATGGCCAAGCATGCAAAAGGAAGGGAGATAGTAGTAATGGGGGACTTCAATTACCCGGATATTTGTTGGATGTCAAACTCAGCCAAGAGCATAAGGTCAAACAGATTCCTCACTGCCCTTGCAGACAACTTCATTGTCCAGAAAGTGGGAGAAGCAACAAGAGGAACAGCCATTTTAGATCTGGTCCTAACCAATGTTGATGACCTGGTTAGTGGGGTAGAAGTGGAAGGATCATTAGGCGCGAGTGATCATGCTCTTCTGAAGTTTACTATACAGCGGAAAGGAGCAGCCAAGCATACTAGGACTCAATTTCTCGACTTTAAGAAAGCCGACTTCATAAAGCTTAGGGAAGTGCTGGGTGAGATCCCATGGACAGTAATACTAAAAGGAAAGGGAGTTCAAGATGGCTGGGAGTTTGTTAAGAGGGAGATAGTAAAAGCACAACTTCAGGCAATACCAATGAGACGGAAACATGGAAGGTGCCTAAAGAAGCCAGGGTGGCTATCTAAAGAACTTTTAACTGAGTTAAGATTAAAAAAGGATGTGTACAAAAAATGGAAAAGGGGGGAAACCACCAAAGAGGAATTCAAACAAATAGCCAGCACGTGTAGACACAAAGTCAGAAAAGCTAAAGCACAAAATGAACTCAGGCTTGCTAGAGAGGTTAAAAGCAACAAAAAAGGCTTTTATGGGTATGTTCGTAGCAAAAGGAAGAACAAAGAAACCGTGGGGTCACTCAGAGGAGAAGATGGTGAAATGCAAACAGGGGACACAGAAAGGGCTGAACTCCTCAATGCCTTCTTTGCCTCAGTCTTCTCCGATAAAGAAAACAATGCCCGACCTGAAGAATTTGGAGCAAATGATTCAGCAGAGGAAACACAGCCCAGAATAACTAAGGAGATAGTACAAGAATACTTGGCTAGTCTAGATGTATTCAAGTCTCCAGGGCCAGATGAACTGCATCCAAGAGTATTAAAAGAACTGGCAGATGTGATTTCAGAACCACTGGCAGTCATCTTTGAGAATTCCTGGAGAACAGGCAAAGTCCCGGCAGACTGGAGGAGGGCAAATGTTGTCCCTATTTTCAAAAAGGGGAAAAGAGAGGACCCAAATAATTACCGCCCAGTCAGTCTGACATCAATACCAGGGAAGATTCTGGAGCAGATCATTAAGCAAACAGTCTGTGAGCACCTAGAAAGGAATGCTGTGATCACCAATAGTCAGCATGGATTTCTGAAAAATAAGTCATGTCAGACTAACCTGATCTCGTTTTTTGACAGAATTACAAGCCTGGTAGATGAAGGGAACGCAGTGGATGTAGTCTACCTTGATTTCAGCAAGGCATTTGACAAGGTGCCCCATGATATCCTTGTAAAGAAGCTGGTAAAATGCGGTCTTGACTATGCTACCACTCAGTGGATTTGTAACTGGCTGACTGACCGAACCCAAAGGGTGCTCATCAATGGTTCCTCTTCATCCTGGAGAAGAGTGACTAGTGGGGTGCCACAGGGTTCTGTCTTGGGCCCGGTCTTATTCAACATCTTTATCAACGACTTGGATGATGGACTCAAGGGCATCCTGATCAAATTTGCAGATGACACCAAACTGGGAGGGGTGGCTAACACCCCAGAGGACAGGATCACACTTCAAAATGACCTTGACAGATTAGAGAACTGGGCCAAAACAAACAAGATGAATTTTAACAGGGAGAAATGTAAAGTATTGCACTTGGGCAAAAAAAATGAGAGGCACAAATACAAGATGGGTGACACCTGGCTTGAGAGCAGTACATGTGAAAAG